GAATATTTGTATTTATAGCCCAGCACCAAAGCTTGATTGGTGCCACTACCCTAAATTATCTCATTCCTGCTTACCAGTCAGATCTCTTAAGCCACGTGTCCGGGAAACTGCAGACAAACAATATTTAACAATTAGTAAAGTGACCTTAGATGATCACCATTTTGTATGCTATGCTTCTAATTCTCATAGTTTTGCTAGCGGACATTTTTACATCAAAGCTAGAGGTAAGGTGACTAAATATTTGGTTGAGCTAATTTACTAAAGCTTCAATTAACTTGACAAATTCTTTATTACTAAGCAGTACACTGTAAATTTGAGGAATTATTCACATTTATGAATAGCGATTACAATCTCTGATTTTAATTTCCTCATGCTTAGAAAATCTCCGCTGGATTCGACCACCCAGTTCAGAAGTTTCTGTTTCTCCATTAGTAAATGAGCATGTATTCAGCTGTCCCTATACCGGTGGTAAATCGGGAAATCCAACCATTATCTGGTCTAGAAATTCAGATGCTCTTGATGAGGACCTTTGTTCTCGCGGAGCGATTTGTGACATTAAAAATGAGCAAATTACCTTCAATATCAGCGCAGGTACTTCTAATTCGCTGAGAGAGACGAATGTTGACTGTCGAATATCTGATTATCCGGGAAGTTTATCTGCTGCAACTTTTGTAACAATACATAGTAAGCTTACTTTCATTTGGACAGCGAATTTTCTCGCTACCTTTATTAAATTTGCATAGATGTATTATACGGTATTTAATATCATGCGCGCATGAAATCCTTATTTTAAATACTAAGATTAAAAATATTAGTTATTCTATATAATAATGTTTTAATGACGCTGATTGCTTTTCAGATGTTGCAAGTTCGCTTATTAGAAGTCCTCCAAAAGTCATTGCGACAGAAGTAGGAAGCAATGCGATGTTTCATTGCCTTTTTGTTGGTTCACCCCGGCCGCTGCTTGAATATTATTATAACGAAAAACGAATTAATGTAATCAGTCTACATTATCAAACTTTTTTTAATGGTACACTACTGATTATTAATGTTACAAAAAACGATGAGGGATTCTATTCTTGCAAGATAGCGTCTACGGAAAACTCCAATAACTTTACAATTAGTAGTTCTAATACTACCATGATTCGTGTCTATAGTAAGTAATTCAAATTAAGAGTTGATTACGCAAGTAACAATAATCTTTCTATACGGACATATTTTATTGAATTTTTTATCGTTTCTGGCCAGTAAAATTCTAAATTAAATCCTTAAATATGTAAATTCTATAATAAATTCATGTGCGTCATTTATATATCTATTTTTATATGAATTATAAGTCATTAGAAGCATACTTTTACCAATTTACCTTACTGATTACTTAAGGTAATAACTTTAATCATGCATTTTATAACCTACGATGTATGCTTTATAAACCGTCTAAGACGCTTGTATTCGTATAATTATTTATCGTTAATGATGAATTATTCAGATTGATTCTTTATGCTACCTTTAATTAGTATTTCATATTAGTTTCAACTTAGTACTGAGTCTATTTTGCAATTTTATAAACGTAAATTTATTACATTGTCGACTTAGCTGAAACAGTATTGTATAAGATATCAAGCCGTTTTAGTAAGATAGGCAAGAGGTCTTGTCTATCTTTGATTTATATAGTATTTCATAAGCTATTTGTTTCTAAAACAAAAAACAACTACTGTATGTAATAGCTCAACTATGGCTAAAATCATTACTATTTTGCTACTTTTCTCTTGTAGATAAAACAAAAATTGAAAGCAAATTTATATCAGACATCCGCAAAGAATCAGATTCATTCGATATTTATTGTAAATTTACATTCGATGGGGAAATAAACGAAACTTTGTCTACGTATTGGAATGTTAAAGGAAAAAGATTTGATGAAGGACCTCGCCTTCAAGCTACACAAGTATTTTATAACAATAATTCTGGTATTAACACATTGCATTATAAAAATTCAGAACCACAAGATACTGGTAGGATTGAGTGTGTTGTCGAATATACTGCTGGAACTCCAATCAAGACATTTAAAACCACCGTAGCTGGATTTATTACTATATCAGGTATTGAATAGTTAACTACTTATTAATATGACGCATTATTTATTAATATTTACTCGTAGTTGGTCTTATGTAAATGTATATGCATCGATAAGGTTTCTACTATCTTGCTAGCGCTAATATTTAATGAACATAATCGATTAGTAACAATATATTAGGACTATTATTGATATTGTTGCTTATGCCTTCACGGTGAAGATTTGCAAATACACTAATGTATCAACAACTCTGTAGTATACGCGTATAGTGATGAGAAAACAAATTAAGTACCCGCAAGACTATTTAGCAGCTTTGTACAGTGCCTAATGCCTTCCCATCTACCGACAATTTGAGAATTTACTATTTATCCTACCTTTTGTAGAATAGATAGAGTTGGAGCCTCTTCCTAGCTAGTTAGCTATTAATAGCAATTTGTAATTATTACGCGGCGTTTCTTGTCACCAATCTCTTTATCAATTTTATTTTTGTCTAACTATTACGAACTCTTGCAGGTATACCGCAGTCTCCTTATAACGTGCAAATTAAGAAGTCCGAGTACCGTACGGTTCTTATTTCAGCAGAAATTTGGTGGAACTTTAATTATGAGTTGTGGAATAACACTATACCGATAGGTTTTGGAATTTATTGCAAACAAAAGGCTAATAGCTCGTACACTCTAGCTGCTAATGGGTTCTGCAAGCCATTTATCTTCGAAAAAACTTTAATCCTTGTTCCTAATAGCAATCGAACATGCCATATTGTTGCCATAAGCAACATCGGACGAGGAATACCATCGAAATCCTTTCAACTCGAGAACCGACAAAAAATTGGTAAGCATTACGATACCTTCGCAATTGACAGCTTATTTATACTGATCTCTTCTCTGCGTTGATACAGATTAATATATCTGTCAGGTATGTAACATTTTTGCACAAAAGTTCTAGTATATATCTTTCATAATTCTAGTTACTAGAAACTATCAGAGCATTAACCTTATCGTTACCGATACATCATTGCCGATATCTTATGATGAAATATTTCATATCATCCTAGAGTATTGTATTAGTTCTAATTGCTTTGACTAACCGTACGATATCGTTATTGATATTTATATCACTACTTCTACATAGTAACATGATTATTGAGCAAACGCAAATTTTCGCAGAATCACCATATAATTTTACTATTTACTAAACGCGAAAATCGTTAGATAATCGAATGATAACATTATAATGACTGTATAAAACTTATCATGGTTATTTTTTTCTATTGTTTAATACCAATCAAAGTGATCGAAAATGTTACCGTCTTTTGCTTAAAAAACTTTCGAATTTTGATTAGTTGGGCTGTAAGTATCTAATTGCATAATAACGTTTTCGAAATAAATGATGTCAATTGTTCCTGTTAAAAATTTTAATATCTCCTTTCTAATGCTATGATGATGTAGCCTTTAGCGATATGGAAAAATAGCAATAACTTCAGCTATACAATCTATATCAAGAAAGTCAAGCAGATTTCTTACGATCGTAAAGATATTATAAAGATCTCATCGCATATATTAAAGAATGCCATTTTTAACACCAGTTATCAAATCAAAGTTGGCACTCGTAACTTGCTCGAAGGATTTGACGTTAATTCAACCGTGAAAATAATCAAGTGCAGCTTTAGTGAGAGAACATACTGATATAAGATTACTATTACTACCGTATGAATAGTTTGCAACTGCTTATATTTTTTATAATTTGCTAAAGGTTAACAATGCTGCTCAGGTTTTGATGTACCGTTTTTCTTGTTATTGAATTACAGACTCTTTATTAACACCAACAAATCTTATGGTTAATGGATCAGAATTGGGGTTAAATGTTGGTTGGAAAGGAATTTCAGCTGCCAAAATCAATTTTAATCTTGCTGGATATGTAGTAAGTATTACTGAATCATAGATCTATCAAATATAATAGATCTATGAGTATTGAAATGTTCTAGTAAGCTAATTACGTTCTATAAAATCGCTCAATTTTCAAGCATAAAATACTACATTTTAAGGTAATTTCGCCATGTTATTATTGCTCATCTTAGCGTAATAATTAGTAAAAAAAATGCTGGTTGCTTCGTTTTAATTTCATTAGCTTTGTTTTCTGCACGCATGATTATTTCTCATCATTTAGCTCTATATCAAGAAGTTTGATAGTTTAAAGCTCCAAATGAGAGAAACAACAGAAACACACCTTTTCGTCAGATGGGCAGCTTTTGATGAAGGAAATGGAATTTACGACCTACAAGTTTTTCCTTTCGATGTTCGGAATATTAGTGGTTATGGATCTAATATTTACAGATATGATTATGTTGATTCACAGTCGACAGTATCATATTCATCAACACCAGGTTAGCATTAGATTTTTAGGATTAAACTTTGGTTACTTATTAAGACAATATGTAGGACAATTTTAGTTGATACTTAATCGTTTGATTTTTAAAAATTTCCTGGTTAATCTAATTCATACCATGTCAAAGGGTTGTTATTTGTGTCGATTTATTGTGGCTGTTTATTAAGATAGTATGCGGGACAATTTGAGTTGATATGGTACTTAATGGTTTGATTTTTAAAATTGTTGATTAATTGAATTCATTCCAAGTTAGGGATATGCTATAGGTATAGAATTATTAAATGAGTAGCTATATTATGAGCAGAACGAATCGCTTGAGTTATATTTAGCTTAAAAGAGAAAAAAGTAGAACGGCAGTTAATTGATGGATATCCTTTTTGGTTTAGTTTCACAGGGAAGTAGGAGTGGAGCAGTTTTTAGTGGAGTAGGAGTTACAATTTTTGTTGTTGTCATTGCTGCAATAGTTATTTATTGGAGGAGAAAACGGCGAAAAGACTTGAAAAATAGGGATAAATCACCCTCTCCTACCATTAAGGAATCGATGTTAACATTAGTCAGCAGCGGAGTAACCTCACAACAAAATTTAAATATTGCAGAAGTAAAATCAAATGAATACATTGAAGCGAAATCACACGATAAGTGGGAATATCCAAAGTCTAAATTAACTTTAGGTGATGAGTTAGGACACGGTGCTTATGGACAAGTGGTTCAAGGTGAAGCGATTGATATTCAAGATCATGTTGGAACAACCGTAGTTGCGGTTAAAATGTTAAAATCAGATGCATTAGATATTGAGAGAAGGAGCTTATTAGCTGAATTAGACATGTTGAAAAGCTTAGATAAGCATCAGAATATTATTTCGCTACTTGGTTGCTGCACCTATGAAGGTAAGAATTTGTTCTACTGCAATCCATTTTAGTACTCCAACCTAGAAAGAATAAACTATTTCTTTTTGTTTGAATAGTGGATTATTTGTTGTAAGTAATTCAATTTCTAAGCTACCGGAATATTACGTCAATTTCATCTAATTGAATTACTTTCAATTTTGTAATAATACGATGGCCAGCACCATTGCTAATCATTGTCGAATTTGCATGCCATGGAGATTTATTAAAGTATTTAAGATCCAACCGAGGTGATGGAGACTTTGGTAATTTAACATTGGAACGATTAACAGAAATTGCTTGGCAAATATCTAATGGAATGACTTATTTAGAACAGATGAAGGCAAGTTTCAGTGATTGATTACATTTTCATGGGTGGATCTCAATGCTTGTGCTTTTGATCATCATGATAGGATATTATTTATAAGTTGTCATTTCTGAGTTATGTTTTGACGTCAATAGACTAATTTGGTCATGAGATTGAATTCATTATTGGAATTTTTCAGAGTGACAGTGCTAAAAACAGGGTTGCATTTTTAATATCATTAATTTCTTGTTTATCATTTATCAATACAGTTAATTCATCGAGATTTAGCTGCTCGTAATGTCCTCTTGGATGAAGACTATAACTGTAAGATTTCAGATTTTGGCTTGGCTCGCGATGTTTATGAATCTAATCTATACACTAGATCGAGTAGAAGTCGTCTACCGGTTAAATGGATGGCGTTAGAATCTATTTTTGATGATATTTGGACCACTAAAAGTGATGTTTGGTCATTTGGTGTCGTTGTATGGGAAATTTTTACGTTAGGCTCATTTCCATATCCCGGCATGACGGCTGCCGAAACAACGGAAAAAGTACGAAATGGCTATAGGATGGAAAAGCCGCAAAATTGTCCAAATGAAATCTATCAAATTATTTCAGATTGTTGGTCGGAAGATTATCGTAATCGACCATCATTTGATAAAGTTAAATTGCGTTTGGAATATTATCGTGAATCTACCGATAGTTACCTGACTTTAGAAGAAGGAGAATCTGTACAAGCGTAGTCGTCTATAGTCTATTTGAATTGGAATACAAGAGTAATAAGAGGAGGAAGTCGATTACACACCTATTGGCAATTTGGAATGACAATTGGATACAAGAAAAGATAGACGAGAATCAATCATGGTATCTTTCAGCCATGATAAATTGGTAAATTTACTAGGCGCTGATCAATCCTATTTGATGATGACAAAGACAGGTTACCGTATATCGTAGACGGTAAACTGGATCCTATCTAGAAACGATTAAACTACTTCCTCCTCAGTCGCATTTTATTATACCTAGAGCGAAGCACTTTGTAATAAACTATGTCATTAATGAGTGAATTGTATTGCACATCTATGCCAATTTAATATTGAAAAGAGAGAAGAGAACCAATCCTTATACCTTTCGGGCATGATAAATTTGGTGAAAGATGCAAATTTACCAGGATTTGATCGATTTTCTTTAAAGATGACAAAGACAGTAACGCGTATATATCGTAGGCGGTAAAATGGAACCTATCTAGAACCATCAAATTGCTTTCTCTTCAATCGCATTTTATTATACCTATAGCTAAACATATTATAACAGATTGAATCATTGAATTATGTCATATACCAATTGAATGTTGAATGTTGAATTTGGATAATATTATTACTGATGACGTTCAACTTAAAATTAGAAATGATTTATTGAATTAAAAATAGAATATGGTCTACTGATTACTCCTCTGTAGTCTGCCATAAGTGACCATATTGAAGCTCTAATTCCAAAAATTGCAAAGTAGTCTATTGCAAAAGACAGAGAGGCAAACAGTCATTATCACCTGTCTATTGAAATGGAATTATGGTTTCACTCTGCTCATTCGATACTATTAAACTGGCTAGAAGATGTTGAATTTGTTAAAATAACGCTATTATTTTCGCGTCGAAATGAATATACTCGTATAAGGTATATGCTCGTGTAGATTCGTGATTTGTCATCAAGAACAATTTTTCATTGAATCATTCTATGCTTATTAATAAAGTAGTCAGTGAGCTTATTGCAGAGATATCAACATCCATACTGTATGTGTATTTCTACGACGGATTAATATGTTTTATGGGGGTTAATGAAATGTTTTAAAAGACCGCTTAAGCTGCTAGTAATGATGCAAATATTGGAGTTTGTTCGGTCATTTATAAGATGGCACCTTGTAAGGTTATTGATTGATAGATTGATGATAGACATAGCCAGCGGGAAGTGGGCTACCATGAAAAGCTCTGCTTTGATCTTCCCCTGCGTCCTTTCTTCTTGACATAATACTTGGCAATATGTATAGTAAAATCTTTCAAAAATCTTTATACGCCGTTATTAATTTAAAATCTACTTACGTCCACAACGAATAACTTTCGGGATTTCCCAGTATTTCTTTCGTGTGATTGAAGTATACGTATGTAGAGACTGTATATTCGACTATGGACGATCACTCCTCTGTAGTAATGAATACGGCAAGTTTGATGGGAGCATAGTTCTTTCGCATGCTTTTAGTTCACGTATGTCGAGACTATATTTCGACCATGGACGATCACTTCTGTATCGTCTTGAATACGGCGCGTTTGATTCAAGTAAATCACAGCAGTCTACTTCCTTTTTCATTGTCATGAATGCTTTGGACTTGCTAATATTCAATATGGATGCTTCTCTAAGCTGCTAGAAATAAATAAGAATAGTTACGATACTAGACACGGAAAGATAAAGTGATAGTCAATTTTACGATGTTTCCCACCCAATAAACGAAGGCCTAAATTAAAATGATTTTTGCGGACTTCAAATTTTGCTGGGCAATGCATGCTAATGCAAGAACTAATAGTGTCAGTTGTTGTTTTGATCGTGGGATAGAATATAAATATAGGCTAACAGGTTTGTCTGCTATTACGTTTAAGGTTCCTCATTTATGCAACATGGATGATCTTTGACCATTAGTGATTATTATTATGCACCTATTTAATCTCAAGAATGGCTTATAGTCCGCTTGGTACAAATAGGACAGTGAGATGAGCCATTCCATCTCCAAACCGGATAATTTACCGTAGACAATTTACTGCATTAAATCAATTTTAGGCTGTATAGGATTGAACGCTGTAAAATATTTAATCCACCGTCGTCATATCAAAACAGATACTTTACTACATTCGATTAATTTTGCGGTGTATAGGATTGAACGCTGCAAAGTATTTAATTCATCCTAATAATATCAAATCTAGATTGATATTGTATCCATCCTTTACTACTACATTATACAGCGGTAAATTGTCCGCGTCAAGTCGTCCTAGTTTAAACTTAGAATAATCTACTATAATTTAATTTAACAGTCAAGAAGGACAGTGAGATGAGCCAATTCATCTTGGATTACTGTCCACGAATATTTTAAACTTAGCGTAATCTACTATAATTTAATTTAAAAGTACAAGAAGGATAATGGGATGAGCCAATTCATCTTGGATACCTGTCCACGAATATTTTCAAGCTCAGCGTAATCTACTATACTCGTCATTAAATTTAAAAGTACAAGAAAGACAATGCGATGAGCCAATTCATCTTGAATACTTGTCCACGACTATTTTCAAACTTAGCGTAATCTACTATAATTTAATTTAAAAGTACAAAGAAGGACAATGCGATGAACCAATTCATCTTGGATTGCTGTCCACAAATATTTTCAAACTCAGCGTAATCTACTATAATTTAATTTAAAAGTACAAGAAGGACAGTGGGATAAGCCAATTCATATAGGATCGCTGTCCACGAATGTATTCGAACTCAGCGTAATCTACTATACTCGTTATTGAATTTAAAAGTACAAGAAAGTACAAGAAGGACAGTGCGATAAGCCAATTTATATAGAATCGCTGTCTACGAATATTTTCAAACTCAGCTAAATCTACTATAATTTAATTTAATAGTACAAGGAGGACAGTGAGATGAGCCAATTCATCTTGGATCCCTGTCCCCGAATACTTTTAAACTTTGCATAATCTACTATAATTTAATTTAAAAGCACCAGAAGGACAGTGCGATGAGCTATTTGTAGTGGATCCATGTCCCACAAAAACATTTCAATTTGGCATAATCTACTATAACTTGATTCAAAAGTACAACAGGACGATGAGATCATAAGATGATTCATTTCATCTTGGGTCCATGTCCACCAACATTTTGAGACTTGGGATAATTGACTATATTAAATTTGGTTTAAAAGCATATGTCAAAGCTATGTCAGTTGAACTGGATGGAACAGAAGTAAATGACGTCGATTAACAATAGTGTTGGTTTAAAATTGAAAAAAAAATTCTTCAGTCAAAGTTTCGTTTCTATGCCCTTCAATATGGTGTACAGTGGGACAGGCTGATTGCATCATTCATTACCAATGGAGAGTTTAAGCAAGAGTCAAATAAAAGTTTTATTCTTCGTGAATTATGTCTGATTATGAAACAGCTTTGCTCATATTTATCACACCACTATTGCAAACAGCTGACATTGAAATTTTACTTCAGTTTTGCAATAGAACGGCAAAGATGGCAGTATAGCTTATTAGGCTTATATCGTGCTATATCTTCGAAAGATTATCATGTCTTGCATTATAATAGTGATGCTGATAGCAGCGTTATGAACAAGCATAACCAAAATGATGTTCACTTTTACTTAATCTAGCCTAATTTAATATTTAAGTGATAGAAAATGATTGCTTTATCGTGCTCTCTACTTAACACTACCGTGATTGATCGAGATACTACTACTTGATTGAATGCTGCGTGGTAAGCAAGCACCAAAAAAAACATGGGCCATCCATCTCATTAGAATAGGTAATTTTGACCTTTTATTAGATATAAGAGCAGTAATACATGTAGGGTAATTAAGTCAAGGAATAGCAAACAGTGGTGCAGGCCATTTTAACTGACTACACGTGCTAAGAGAATATGGCGTTGTCGATGTCCTTTTTGGATCCGTTGTCGACAAAGAAAGAAAAACAACACAAGCAAAAATCCATTACCAAATCAATCATTCATAAGGCAATAAGCAGTAACTTGACAATACAACAATTTCAGCAACAACGTAGCAAAAAAAAGATTTCAATAATCTCTTGCATCGAATTACAGTGTCAACTTTATTTATTCATACATACATATATATATATATATATATATTAAACCGAAAATTTAGAAATCATTAATTAATTAGAACGACCTCTAGAATAGCGCGTCGACATGCTACCACGTAGTTAACAAATAACAAAATAACATATCATCAACATTGATTCAATCCTTTTAAGTGAAAGGTATAACTTTCTATTTTTAATTTATATAGAATATATATATATATCTATATATATTTTAAAATTTTTAGGTATAAATATAAGAAAAAAACCCCAATTAAATGCTATATAACAATCATCCACATCTTGTATCCAGTGATAGAAACGTAACATACTTTTGCATTGCCATCGTTCCATAATGTAGAAGCAGATGAAAGTCTATCACTATGGAAATTGTGCCTAATCAAACTAAACAACTTTTAAACTGGCCGTTGTCAAAGCCACATTTTCATCAAAATCTTTGACATCTTGTTTTACCGTAGGTAGCGAGCCCGAATTGACATGGTAGAATCGTATACGGCTTAATATACGCGCAACAGAATCATTGACTGGATTACAACAAACTTGGACACATAAGGTAATCATCTTGAACATACATCCAAAGAGAATACTAAGACCGCGAATACATGGAGTATAAGCCCAAATTTGACCAAATACAACACAAGCAAAGTAACAGCCGCAAAAGAGTGCACAAGGCAGAGCAAAGATGGCACTGATAATTCTGTAGCACCATAGTTTAGAGCCTTCAAAGATAGTGTAACTCAATTTCCAGATAGCATCAAACGAGTAATTTCCATGTGGTTCGGCAAAGACTTCCGAGAAAGATACCTAAAAATCAATCGATAATCATCCTTCTTATACAGCAATAAAACTTCATCATCGTTTCCATTTTAATTTTAAAATGAATGAATAAGGATCAGCACGGATATCCGACTCTGACAATAGTCATTATTGCATTTGCACTCGATGTAGAATCAATTATTCTATCATGATTCATTTTCAAAGTAAAGTTGTATACTTGATGGGCTAGCATCAAGTCCATTCGATCCAAATACAAAATCAAACAGTAACGAACTTGATGCTATTCCTTCAAGTAAAAGGTCAACCAGGCCTTGTTACTCTATTCGCAAATTCATTCTACAATTGGTGGTACATTCAGTACGCTCCATCCCGCTGGAATAAATTTCGCCATTGTCGGCTACAATTGTCGTGGTTTACGTTAGCAGCAGGCTTGCTACCATGGCGAAATTTGAACTACGTAAAACTAAAAGGAAATCAACTGGCCATGCCAGATATGGATTCCCCCCCCCCCCCTACGAAAAAAGACATAACATGTCAAATATGGGTACTATCAGCAATCAATATACTGTTAACTAATATCCCAATCAAAAACCAAATTCACTAGACTACAGAAAACTCTTTGTTACCCCCTACCATTGCATCTAAAATGTTATTTGGTCGTTAGAATGGCAGTCTACGCTATTATCCTCATCGATCAATAACGATCATAATATCATACAGAACGACTATTCAACTACATCAAGGCATGTCAATAACTTGCATTATATCAGTTCGGTCATGAAAGGATTGCAAAGACTAAAGGCTATCGTCTTTGCGTCTACATACCTCAGCGTGAAAAACTTTGAATTAAAATACTTTCTACTTGTAATCTAATTCACTATCGTCAACCAATTTTGTTCTGTCGTATCAGTATGCAGTTTCCAAAAGTCATACTAATACAAGTGATAACTAAAGTTGGTTTTGATAACAATATCAAAAGAGAAAAAAAAGATGTCTACACAGCCATGTTGTAGCAGTAGGGGATAAAATTCTCCATGCTACCACCGTAAGTGCTTCCGTCGAGATTAGCAAAGCGTAAGGTACAACCCCATCCCCAAAATTGCAATACATGGCTGCTACACTAACAAGTTATAATTTAGAAGGAAATAGACTAATCGATTAGGTAGCCTTTATTATTTTGACGAAAAGAACGTCTTAAAATAGATTTTATCAAAGTAATCTATGAGTCAACAAGTCAATTTGATGCTACTAATTTAATAATTGATCTACTTGCGTTTGCCAATGAGTAATGACTATTAATTAATACTACACTGGACTACTGGATTAGCAGATTTGACAAATTGAGCGTTATTTTTTCTACGGTAGAAGCGGCAGTTTACAGTACGCCATTAAACGCCCTCATCTCTTTCCGCACAACTTGCAATTCTATAATGGAAGGCTTTCTACACTGTACATCGAATCAATCAATTTATTTATTTAAGTTATCCGATTAAAGCATTTTCAGTTATTGTACACTACAGTACTATCGCTTTTGTCAAGACATGATCGATTTAAATACCGTTTTACCAATCGATTTACTAAACTGTACATCTATGGAGTAGCATGGCCATTGGGAATTTTACCAAAAAAATGCTTCGCAAAAAGTGACTATTCTATTAAATGAAAGTAGACAATCGCCAAAAGTCAAGGAATTAGGGGCAATGATAACGCCCTTGCATAATTCAATCATTTCCGATGGTAGTAAGTGAGTGAAACTAGAGGCAGGGCAAATTAGGAGTTGTCAATTCTCTATCCAGATACAAAATGAAGGCAAATATTTGCTTAGGTGTTAGTAACCAATTTTCCAGTAATTAACAAATAGTTGCGGTTGCTCTTAATGCTTCAAAATAACAACAAGAACATTGTAATTATAAACTAACATACTGTACTGTGTAGTCTGTAGGCTTTTAAAATAATCCCAAGCTATCACAGTTCGACAGCCGTATCGTCGTCGATCCTGACAACGGATTACTCTAAAATTACCCTAAATATGTAGGAATTAGTGCTGGAGTAAATTGGACATTCCTTCACGTTAATAGCGCGCATTATTTTAACAGTCTAAAACATGTGTTAACACCTCTACTTATTAACTTGGATTGGAGATCCATTTAGCCTACGCCCTTTGATTACTTCAGTATCGTTGTCATCTATGTCTTTGGCGATGATGGAATAATATACGAGCATAATTTGGGGGGGGGGGTAAACATGATCAAACCTTATAGAGTTGGAATGATTCACTAGAAAAGGAGGAGGATTGATTTTAAAAAATAGTTCCAATAAGTAAAAAGAAAAATTCACGGGTACATACTGTACGTGAAAAATTTTTAGTTACTGATCCAACTGTTTTTGGTCGGCTAGTAAATCAAAATTCACAATCAAACTTTAATCCTCAGTTTACATTGAAAGCTAAAGCCAGTGTGTATAGCAAAAAAAAAAAATGCGTAATGAGAAGGAATTGAACTTTATATAGGAATAACAGATTACTGTAAGAGCAATTAATGTCCATTTTTTTTTAAATTGGCAAGGCAAGCGTTCAAATGTAGTCGAATAATTAACGGTAACAAAGCGTTATCATAAAATGGGGATTTGCTGATTTTACTATCATGGGCAAAATCAACTTTTGTAACGATGCTGTTGATTTTTCCACCATATCGTTGCGTAAGCAAGTCTATATCTATATTTCATCAAGCGGATAGACCAAAAGGGAAAATCAACTACGCTTGGATTCATGTATTTCAGTTAGCGCACGACTGACTGAAATGATTTTTTATCGTTTATTAATTCATTATGAATTTCTCCATTTATTGGGCTATCCATTAAAGTTGATAATCCACGCCTAAGCGGAGGCGTTCAATTGCACATTATCTTGCAATCATCAAGTTGTGATTGCATGATCATTTTTTTTTGGCGTGGTGGGTAAAGGAGTAGGGGGAAAAAGAAGAAATAAAAAATAACTTCAAATGGCATCTTTTTACCTTCAAGTGTTCATTAATACCATTAGGATCACGATCAGAGACATTCATATTGAATTTCAGGTTGACCGGTTCATCAGAGGTTTCTGGAGCATGGCCTTTTTCAGAGTCAGACATTTTGCTTGTGCCTTGATTCTGTAATCGATTGACAAGACAAAGAAGGCAAAAAGAGAGAGAGAGAGAAAAAAAAATGAAGAATAATCAATAGACTTGAATAGCAAATAGATCGCTTAAATACCTTTGATGTATTGATTTTAACAAACATCAATCGAAATTAACATTATTATCGTCAAGTGAGAGAGGGGAAAAAAAAAATAAACAACCCCAATCTTCACTCACGTCAAGAATGCAATAGATATCAACATGAACACATTTCTCCTACACCAATGTAGAAGCTAGTTTAATCGTTACCTAACGTTTAGGAAATAAGAGAAAAAAAATGGATTGGAAGATGTAGAAAAATGGCTCTATCTTGATCAAGTCGCGTGGCAACTGACAAAGTCGTAGCACAAAAGGAACTGACAAGAAAAAGGACCGAGGTCAGAGAATTTATAAACAGCAGTAGAGTACCCCAAGCCTTCTATTCTACCGGAATGGTATGCTCGTTATGTGGCTTATATGGATAACGTTTTGTTGGACAGAGTTTAGGACATGAGTAATATGGATAGCAAATTCTATCAACGCCCTTAGCAGACACAAGAACACCACTAGGTGGGAGTGGACTTTTTCTTCCTTGCCATCATAATCTATATCATTTTTATTTTTTCTCTCTTTTCAAAAAGAATACACTAACCCTTTCTTTGATAATTCTTGTACTGTCCAACCTACTAGTTTTATTGGCCTAATTCAAGTAACGCGTACATGACTAAAGGCAATGCATTGATTTATGCCATTCAATATTCTACACGCAATCATGATCGAGGTCAATATCGGCTTGACCTAATTAGTAGAAATAAAAAAATCGCTTCTTTTTCCATCATTGGCCAATGCCATTATTCCTCTAAATGGCTATACAAGCACTATTGTTACAGCAAAATGCTTCCTACTGTTTAAAGAGTCTTCAAATGATTGGTCATGGATCTTATTGAGATGGTAATATGTCAATCAATTAAAGAAATCATTATTTGCATAATAAAAATAAAAATAATAAAGCTTGCAAGGATATTCTATGCAATCAATAGCAACGAGTGGATCGGCGACGACATGACGGAGGGCTTCTACTCGTTGTGTCTCTTTACCTCGCTAAAATCCATTGTATATGTTATATGTTCTACAGAGTATATAGTCGATTAGTATTGTTCCTCTTGATGTTGAAAAGAGCCTCAGTTTGCCACGGTAATTATGTCAATAGATCGATGCTAGCTTTTACAACGCCCAACTTGGGTATGCTTTGATGGCAATCTGATTTACTGTTGATTTTTGTGCGGGATGGACGATTGCATTACTACAACGACGTTTTAAAACTAGCATAAGCGGCACTCGATTTCACTCTGGATTACTAAAGGAATCGACAGTCGTGTGCATTTGCACTGGGATCATCGACCTAGCCATGATTTTAAAGGCAACAATCCTCATTCACTTTATTATTCTCTTGCTTGGAGCTGAACGAGGACAACAGTATACGAGAATATACTGTATAGACAGACGGTGCTGCAGAATGGCGAGTAATGGAGGCTGCTCGGTATTTCCGATCATGGATTCATCAAGCATCGAGTCGTATAGTAATGTAGATTTTACACTTGTAATCATGTATCCTAGAGCAATGCGTGATTTTATTGACTAATCGATGGTACTCTAAAACCGAGCGCTAGTGATAATGATACAATATACGTAGAGTCAATTAATGTTAGCATGGGATAGTGCTAGACGATGCCATCAGGATAGCCTTTCTCACCCTATTGCGTAGAGCAAAGTAAAAATACAGTAGAGGCGCTCTTACCTCAATCGTAGACCTATGCATACGATGAACAAAACGCGATTCTGGAGGCTCAGTTAAAGGTACGTTTACCATCTGGTCTTTACCGCTTGCACCTGACTAGATATAGAAGGGAGAGTTTATTTTTACCCTTATGAAAGTCTTGCAGCACAATCATGGAGAGCCAGTAATTTAGCGTAAGGTAGCATTTCTCAGCTGATTGTCTACTATGGATTGATTTTGTCAACTATCCGCGGAGAACAATGTTGACATCGATTTTGCATCCATTGCAGCCGTAGTTCTGTTAGCTATAGTTTCATTTTGGTATACGGAAGAGTTCTTCAACCTTTTAAAACTGTTTACTACTCGATTGGCATAAAGCTACTAAGGTGGCATCACAAAGTATGACAAAGTATACGTACTGTATATCAAGGAATCCATTCATTTTGCGTATGGTGGTGGTATGCCGTTAGTGTATTAATCTGACCTCTGCTGATCATCTACTACAGGAATTACTTTAATGATTTATAGTAAGAACAATTTGGTCAATGCCAATGGAGAATGATACTTTTACCATCCAAGTACGAAATCCAGTCAGTTGGCGAATACAATCGTTATCGCGATAGAGATGCCATCCATTTCAACAGTATCCTGTAGCAGTAGTAGCTCCAGGTTTACTTTTTAAGGGGTAAGACAGCAAAGGGAACGTTGCTGCTGTTTAACAACTGTTTTATGTTGTGCGATACTATTATTACCATAATCGAAATTTTCTACGAGTACATACATAACTTGCTTGTCGATTGCAGCATACATTCGTCGACAGTAATTCATGACGTGTATATTAATTAATTATTATTGATTGTGCCTAGAAAAGAAGATTGCCTACTTTCTTACGTTAGGAAATTAGAATGCTTAATTTAGACAACTGGTGGAACATTGCATGGATCAGCTTATCATCATGATGCGTCGTTGACACATCTACAAATTGCCACTTTTAAGCATAGCAGCAGCTGAATATAAAGCTGTGCTGTAATTAGAATACTTAATTTGGACAACTGGTGGAACATTGCATGGATCAGCTTATCATCATGATGCGTCGCTGACACATCTACAAATGGCCACTTTTAAGCTTAGCAGTAGCTGAATATAAAACTGTGTTGGGCCATAAGCAATAAATTAGTGTAGCTACACAAAACTAGTTACGTAACATGACGGATTCCTAAGATAAAATTTTGTCTTACCGGTAAAATATGCTCGCTCGAGCTGGACTTTGTAACTTTGTCTTCGAAATCATCAGGCTGATAATTTTCGTACAAGTCAGCATCCTCTTCTTGATAAGGATCTGTATCGCCGTTCGTTTTTGGACCTTTTGCTTGATGATCGGCCATACTTTATTGGTATACGCTTATGAAACGATGATTCGTGATATCCAAATCTGCTTAAAATTATACAGAAACGAAATGAAAGTAAATAGATTATTCGGCATTGACGAAGCCGATAACTAACATCCTGAATCATCATTACTAGCAGTAGTGCTGGAGTATGCATGCAATGATTCGATTGGACGGTCTATTCATTAATTATAATTAATGTTCAAATTAGATCTCACAGCAGTCAGTGGATGTGAGTAATCATGACAACTTTTCAGCTAAAGTATGTAAAAAGCGAGATATAGAATACTCAGTTACTGTCACTAGGGATCATTGCCATGATACTCGTATCTACCCCAGCTAGGATCGATATCTCATTTCTTCAGAATTGATAATGAATGGCGATTAAGATGCATATACTCAAACCATTCGTATGCAGAAATGGAATACTTTACTATTAAAATTGACAGACAAATTTTAGTTGCAATTTCTCCAACTAACGGTAATTCTTAGCTATGAAGAATTATTCATAAATACAATTCTTCAAATAGGCCGTAATCATTTCTTGCACAAGTTACGTCCATGCTTTCTCCAACTATTTAGTAAACAGAGCTACTCGTCGGCTATAACGAACGAGTGGACTCCAATGGAAATAATGAAATGTCAAATTAATTTACGAGATGATGGCAATTTCTAATTCAATGCTTGCTTAAACAGCTACTTAGTGTAGGGTAAAGGAAATTGTAAACTGCAATCTCAAGTCGAAAATTGGATATCGTTCTTAAATTTGACCGCTTTACAAAATTAATAGAACCTAGTCAACTGGTTGATATGAACAAGTGATACACTGGATAGAAAATTTCCAAAGTTTTACTTCGCTACAGTGGTTATTCACAATTTCTAAAGGACTTCCACAATTCCACGTGCTAAAGTAATGGGTATCATAATTAGAACACATCAATAACATAATAAATAATGAATTCATAGGACAATCATATCCATCCATTTTTTTTACTGGCTTGTTAATACGGTAATTAATCAATAGGTGAAATTAACGCTGTCTTAACTATTGATAGAGTAATGCAACATCATTATTCATAATATAAAATAACGGATTATGGTGAGAGTAGTTGCACTACTCTATTTGATATTCCTAAAAGAAGAGGTTATAGAATCATAATCATTAGTGAAGGGCTTTATTTTATGCCGCTATAATACAACTCGACCTAGGCGGGTGGAAAATTGTATTACTGAGGGGTAAACATTGATCTTATTTTGCTGGAAGAATGGAGGTGGTATTAGTAACCCTAGGAGGTAATATATCATACGTCAAATATGATAAACAAAATTGGTACAGTTCGATAAGCAACATGATGATAGTAATGCCTAGGGCTATAGGATTATCTTTACAACTATGCTATAAGCAGCGGATAACAACTATACTCCTTTTTTGCCTTCTTGCTGAAACACTAGTCTAATTTTGAAATCGTAACTGTGATATTGCATTTCTTTCTGTCCTTCGTCAGTCATGCAGGCTAAATCATGGCGCCTTATGTTTTGACTAGAGCTATCAAATTATTGTTGGAAGCTAACTATCAATTAATAATGAAAACGATTCGCATAAGATATTACGCAGTAGTGATGGAATGCTGACAAATTAGCCATTATTCATTATTGCTGTATTGAAATCAACGGAAAAATCATTTCTTTCATGGCTTAAAAGAAGGAGTGGATCATTAAAGTTGGAGGAATAAAATACAATAGTTGCTGTTTTTTTTGACAGTATTAAATATGGAATGATTGTAACCTCATTATAATATCATCACATATTATTTCGTAGAGATGGATCCGAGCGATTTACCTTAATTTTACTACCTATAGTCATCGTCAACTTTGTTTCAGTTACAGGATGAACAAAGTTGACGAATTTGTGTTTAGCTAAAACGGTTCATTTCTAAGTTCGCACTATATCGCATTAGAAATTTAGTACTATCAAGGAGTGATCGAATGCTAAAAGTAAGACATTAAATTATCGGAGATAAAGAACTATAGGTAGTAGTGGTAAAGATTTCATAAAGCACCAATCCTGCTACGATTACTATACTGCAAATAAAAAGAAACGACATACCAAAGGATATCGAAACTTTTCCTATTTTCATTTACGTAGAGATCAAGTTACAAATATTCTATCCTAAACATGCAGTGCTGTATTTGTTTTAAGTATACTGAGAAAAAGTAAGCAATTGTTTTTTGTGCCATAAAGTCGTAGCAATCAATTTTTCCAAACTATCTATTCATTTGTTAATAAAAGCAAAATACTTACCCTACTGTCTAGTCTAGTATAAAATAAGTCCTAGAAAAAGCACTGACGATTGAATGATTCCAGAATTAATTGATCGGATACAAAGTCGGAGGTCGAAATCCACAGGTAACGCGACTTAATGATAATGGAGGTTCAACAGGGACTATATGCAATTAAAATTTTCTTTGAGCTATAGGGCGCACCAGTTTATAAAATGCACAATAATTTCCATGACAATATATACTGTAAGTTAATATACATTATATAGACATCAGATCCATGAATAATAAGTTATGAATAAATATCAACATAGGACAATAACGTATTAGCAATAATGTATTAATTATAATATCTAGGGCCGTACTATTTAGTCAAACTGTTAACTTTAGGACATCCATATACTAGATAGAACATTCTTATAGATGATGATCTATTTTCAGCTCAATGTTAATTCTTTATTTCATGCGTCAAAAACTGTATAATTCCCCTCGAAAGCCTTTAATAACATCCAATTTAACTCCGAATGAACTTATCATTTATTAAGTTAATAAAGTCAACTTTTTCATCGTAGCGATATAGAAACGATTCAAGCTGTAGTTAACTTCCGAATTCGGGTACATGACGAATATAATTACCTTTTATTTTAAAACCGAAGCGGACATGGCTTCTATTTGTATACTGTAATGCTCACATGTAGACAATGGATATGATACTATCCTTATAGAGAAGCTTTACATAAATGGAACTGCCATGATAAATAAATTCATCTTGACTAAAATATGACTAATAAGTCTTGATTTATCTAAATTCTGCTTATATTGTCCAAATAAGCGCTAACCCCTGAAACACTTCGACTGAGATTTTTTTAAATGGCCGTAGAAAGCAAGCTTTTTAAGGTACACTTGCAGATTACATCTAACATCTGTATAAGTAGAAATGTACAATGATTAATAAAGTACTTCCTTTCTTCTAGTTATTCATATTTGCGTGATGCATTTATGAAGACACTCAAAGATTGCCGCAACAACATAATTGTTGCTCTTAACAATAGATTAAACTGAGATAAGTTGATGTCTTTTAAGGTTAAGGCCATTCATTAACTGTTCGATTAATAACCAGTCAATGCTAATATGACCAAGATAGCGTCCATTAGTCCTATTAAAAAGGAGGTACCATGACAGTAGGCATTCCAAGCCAAGCATGCTTCGGCTTATTGCCTTACTAGGCTTACGATTATGGATAGGATTATAGTACGTAAAAAGAGCTGTTTTTAAAGTATGTGTAGAAATTATCGGAAAAGTTCTCAGAATGAAATGTTGATAGCAGCTGGAAAGTGCAATAAGATATAGACAAATATTTACTAGTGCACAAATTCAACTGTTCTTAGAGTATTATCCCAGTTATCAGCTATTTATAGCTATTTACAGCAAACTTTTACTGTATATATTGCTACAGTAAGCCTTCAATTAAACTTCATATATACGTTCGTCTAAAATACAATTTCACTTTAGCTTTTGCAGCTGCACTATCTATCGTCTGTATTTGATTACATTAAAAGGCTATATATTCATTTAGTTATATTTACGATGAAATTGAGTAGAAATTTTCAATGTTTTGAATTAATTATTTGTCTGAATGCAATGATATCTACATAATTATATCGGTTTTCCTGAAACGCCGAACTATTTCACATATTTTAGTTAATTAATTTGATTTTATTGATCGCCCAGTGCAGAATAATCAGTCTATAGAATATTACAAGAAAGCTGGAGCAATTAGGCAGAAGGTCATGTCAGTCATGTACTAACGTCATACCGGGCCATGTATGCAAAGCCAACGATTGCATTACGCGAACTACACTAATATAGTTTTCAATTACTAATCATTTTTAGCGCCGTATGTAGGTAAGAATGCTAAAAATTTCACAATTCTAGCAATAATCCTGGATTGACGTAGACTTATAGAATTTATATGATTAGCTTCAACAGGAATTGCCAAAGTTAACTGGATACTATAGAGCTTGCATCTTGATCTTACTTCTGATGGTAAAGATATTTAAATGCTTACAGATGTACTAATGACTACCGAAAATTACCGTATAAAAGTAAAGCACTTACAATCGAAGATTTAAAATTGATCAATGCTTGTTACAATAAATTATAATCTTCTACGGGCACTAGCTTAAACATTTACGTCAACTTTGTATAAAGTAAAATCCCATGCTAAACTTTTCAGAAGGTAGAAAAATTTCAGAAGAATGACATAAAGAGCTAAAAAGCATCACTCCTCTGGTAATTACTTTTCATAACAGCAATCCATGATATTTTTATTAGTGTTTACATTTACCAAATCAATTCCTGTATAGCAAAGTATCGTTAACACGATCATTCCATGCAATGATTATGTTAACAAAATGGGAAGGTTGACGTACTACAGCTCTTTAGATCCTAGCATCCAATAATGAAAAGACCTTAATCTACATTGGCCATTGCCGATATAATACCGCAGTAGATTTCTATTCCCTTAAGGAAGATCTTTTCATTCAAAAATTCATTATGATCGTGAAGTAATACCGGCGTATAGTTCATTGGAGAGAATCCTAGGGCAGGTATTCCTGCCTGTAAATCAAGCCATATAATTTAACGCATTAGAGGTAACTTTCTTAAAAGAAAGCTCGTATTTATCATCTCCTTAAAATTACAATTACTATTGAAACTGCTCAAATCTTACATAGATAACAAATTACGTTGAATAGTATGACATTAAATAAATAGAATAAAAGAAATTTATCAAATTAATAATTATGGTCGATGCTGTTTAATTTAGTAGAAGTAATGCGGTAAAAATTTTATTGCAAGTAATGTTAGTTCTACTGTACTACAGTCGATTATTAGAGTGTATGTAAGTGATATAATCATATTTCCTCTTAAAAGGAAGAGATCAGCTTCATTAATACAGTACCTGGCGTAGGAATCGGCTATCTGTTGCTGCTGGAAATGTCTCTGTAATGAGTAATAAACTCCTAAAGTTGCAAATTGATAATAAAAATAACGCGAATAAATGCAAGGGAAGGCTAACCGTAAGCTCTTAGTAAAAATTAGTAAAAATTAATTAATTACTAATTAGTAAAAATTCCGTATCACATAGGATTAATCACAAATTGGAAAAATAATCTGCCTACATATTGGAAGCCGCTGAGCTGAACGCTCTCCACCATTTATCGCTGTTGTCAATGCTGGTAATTGATTTATCCATATGACGCTGTTACAAATACAAAAATCAAAGAAATACAAATACAAATACAAAAATTAAAGTTATTCACAGTCTAAATAGAGATTAAGTGTGGCTAACAGTACGCATATTACACCATCGCTATTTAAAATTATCTTACGTCAATAAAAGTGATTAAAATTCCATCGCCACATTCATCTGCCCAGGATCGGACTCTTTCTTCGAATTCCTGTGAAAAAAGTTATTCGTTTGAACAGAAGTAAAAAAATGTTATTGAATTAAGGGTTATTGAACGAAGTAAAGAAATAGTCGTATGACTACCTGGAAGTCAACGTCAAGTGCAAGCCTGACGTCAATAGCTAAATGATTTGAAGAAAAATTAATAATAAATTAGAGCCGCTCATTATTCATAAATAAAATTGACTTACTGAGCGTAACATCAGCAGGGACTACGTTCCTTTGAATACCACCGTTCACCATAGTCATATTTATGGTTGTAACATCTCCCAATCTTAAATTATTTTCAAGCATTCTAAACAACGAATTTATTAATAATGCTGATAGTCAGTAACGGTTTAAGTATACACTTTACCACTGTTATCATGCTTTTTCATGTAAAATTCAGTTTAGAAAAGGTATAATAACAATAAATATTGATTTAACCAATCTATTCGTTAAGATAACCGTTTTTCTTCAGAATTTCGAAATTCAGTGAATTTATTCATTAGCTTCCTCTATTTAATGGTAGAATGGTGCGTTGTAAGTATACATAATACAGATACAACGTGTATACACCTACGAGTTTACTTGTAATTCGATAATAAAGGTATTAATATCATATATTGGCTAAGTTGCTAGCAAATGGTGGTCGTTACGTAAATGCATTTTCTTACAAGCTTTTCCATCGCAGTATTCTGAACAAATCTTGAGCCGTGTCCAGGCCTTCCAGTACATTTAATTCTGACTCCTGGTATTTCGTGTTAGAATCAATTATTACCAGAACAAGCATTTAATTTGTTAAATTACTATAAAGGTAGCATTAATTAGTACTGTAGATCAACAGTTCAACACTGCATGCTGACTAAATTTCAGCTAACACTAAAAAGTTAAAGGAGAAAATTCAGTGGTGAAAGTAATAGTACAATGATAACAGCGTTGAGAATATTTACCCCAAATTGGCCGCTCAGAATTGTAAACAATAAACTCTTCCGTTGGATTTGCTAAACCTACAAAGATAGAGTTAATTGAAGGTAGTTTCAAGAATAAAAAAATTTAGTACCAAGTGTTTTAGGAATGAACCTTCGTCAAGTGCGTAAGCAATGTTCAACTTTTTAAATTCTTCATGCTTGCAGAATAATTGCATGCCTTCCCTTCCTCCACGTTCTTCATCTGAAATGTCAATAGGTAGATTGATCAATTCAACCAAAATAATTTAAGTGGTTCAACAGTGAAAGTAATAATAAACATGCATAGGTTAAACGTAAACTGTATTATAGTACGCTGGCATGAACGGTTTAAAATTTAGAAACTCTCTATCATTGTTGTAAAATAGCTGTTACAAACTATTTAACAACGGAATATGTTGGCAAGTTATAATGATGGAATGGTCTTGTCATTCAGCTATTGCCTATACTCGTAAGTCCATAATCTAACTGCATTTGTATGTACTGTATTGTAGATTAGTATCTTGCGTGCCAAATAACATGCCATAATTTTGTATTAGAATCAACGCGTATTTGCCATTATGTAATACCTGGTACAAACGACATATGTATAGTACGTTTAAAGCGCTTTCCTTCTTTCTTTAGTCTTCTTATAGCTTCTATATATCTAAATTACAAGGTAGTATTATCTTGCACATTCTTACTTCTGGTATTAGCAGAGAGTTAGCAAACATAATTTAAGATTAACATTCACTAACTGTATTCCTACGCATTTCATATCCTAACAAACAAGAAAATTAAAATATTATCGTTAGACCAGAGCCTTATAATTGAAGTATGCGAATACGTAAAAACCGAGGAAATATCTGTATGCCTGCGATATTGTGGCGAAATTTATAAAGTGAAAATGCAATTTAAGCCAATACCTATGGCGTAGCGGTATAATAATGTTACCTGTGTTCCTCTTGCGTATATATCTCCTTCCGGAGTTTTAATTGCGGCAAATGGATCATGTATCCAATGCTCCTATAATTTCAATATTTCGGAGGAAACTAATTAGCCTTTTAACCAACAACATGCAAGTATAATAAATTAATAATGCTGTAGTGGGCATATCACTCGAACTAGAACGATTACATATTAGCAATCTAGAATATACTCGTACATACGTGTAGCAGATATTATATATGTTTAGTAGCTTAAGTGAAACGATGAAAATGATTGCTATTTCTTGAAAAAGTGCGAGAAAGTCTTCAATTTTAAACTGTTTGATATAGTCTAAAGAAATAGACAGGCATGTAATAAAATTGTATAAGCTTACAATCCAAGTAACTTACAAGATAAACCGGGACAACATCCGTATGGCTATTAAGTAATAAGGAGCCAAGCGTAGGATCTGTTCCTTCCCATGTTATAAGAACGACAGGCCTGTTTGGGAGGACCTGCACATTCGTCAAACATTAGCATAAAACACTTGACATCCCAAAAGTAGAATTTTTAAGTCTACCAGATCAATGTTGCTAACTAAATAGCCTACCTCGATTACTCTCATAGGCAGATCTATCTCTGCTGCCAGTCGTTGCAGTAGTTTAGTGCAAGCATCTGTGATTGCAAAATATAAACTTAGGTAGTTAACACTGCTTTACCGTAATTTGTAGCAATGAAGATCTATGTTTGTACAGTAGCACCGTTAACGAAGATACTTTCCAAGGCAGTATCTGCATTGTACTACACAAGCGATCTTACAGAATAAGAAAAACGACACTCGTTAATAAGCAATCAACACTCTTTCCCAAGTCTTGTAATGGAGTTAACACTGCTTTACCGTAATTTGTAGCAATGAAGATCATCTATGTTTGTACAGTAGCACTGTTAACGAAGATACTTTGAAGGCAGTATCTGCATTGTACTACACAAGCGATCTTCCAGAACTAGAAACATGACACTCGTTAATAAGCAATCAATACTCTTTCCTAAGTCTGGTAATGGAGTACATGACAAGAATCTGATAAGGGAATGGATGTTTCGCTCCTCAGGCACATGCCATGGGTACATACAAGCATTACCGGCAATCTTAATATGTTTTTACTGGGTTTAATAGTATCTCGGAACAAAAAAAGGGCAAGAAAATGACTGTACAAAGAGTTCTAATCATCCATCATTGGCAACTTTAGATTTGCATGGCCTGTAAACAAAACTGTGACACGCGTACGTAGATGTTTAGTAAGAGCAACAACTTATTGGATCATCGAAACTGGTTGCTATTGATACACTATAATTCATCAATTCTATTCGTATGGAAATCAGTTCGATTGGCATCGATCACCATCCTGTGTGCTCTAAGATGTTGGAAATGACGAAATGATATTCATCTCTGCTTCTTACTGATTAACGATTGCATTATTGGTCAGTAAAAACTAGCCATAAGAAACATGCTTTGCTTGTCTAGGCGAATGCAACAAAGTTCGATTCTGTTGCTTTCATGCCGTCCCCTTTACATTCTATCATGGAATAAATAGAATCTGAAGAAGGATTGGATCTTGAACTGTTTTATACATCATTTACCATAGTCAGCTTCGGATGAAATCGTATTGATTCTCAGATATTCGCGAAAGACAGTCACTGCAGGATGTTCTTCAGCCATGTCTTCCCTCTTGCCACGAGTGGAAAATCGTCATCTACTATAATAAGTTTATGACGCAGTACAAGTACTGTACGAGGTAGTGTATATATGCCCGCAGTATTTGTGACGAAAGAGAGGTGTGGCCCACAAAATGGCCTCCATCATTCTTTATTTACTTACTGTTACTGCAATTTCTAAATTTATTGAATCGTGCTATATCTTTTATTCGATATATAACTCTCTCTATATGGCATATACATATATAGAGATATACAACTTTTAATTATTTTACTGGCCAATGGACTGTACTCATTTTGGACATTTGAATTAGGACTTGGAAGAGAAATTAAAAAGTCCCTATGATTGGAACGGCTTATCCACTTGATGGAATCTGCGATTTCTTTTCCTTTACTGTATGGCGTTGTCTGTTTTTATTAACTAGGTTGTACTACGGTGAATACTCGACTATTCGTCCATTGCATTCACTTGCGACCTCATTACACCGTCGACTTTCGTCCTATTGGATGCTGGACACTGTGCTGTAATCGATGTCAGCTTCAATTGATGGAGAGATGGGAAATGCAAGAGAGAATGAATTGATTGGAAATATCATCGCAATCCTTTACCAGGAGATAGCCAAACATGCAGAAAGATAGCAATAGAACTGAATTTTGCATGCAGCTTGATTAACCTTTCTAATTAGTGATGCATGGCAGATATCTTGCATGATATTACCTTACTATACTGTATGACTATACCGACCAATGTTGCATCATGTAGCCATTCAACGATATCCGAGTTTATTTACATTTCTTTTTTTTTTATTTTTATCTCGTCTCTACCGCCTAATGTGCAAGTAAGAAGAGAATTGCGTCTAGCTCAGCTCAACCTAAACCTTACCAGACTATCACAGATTTCTCGATCGGAGGACTGCTACTATATGACCATACCGACCAATGTTGCATCACGTAGCCATTCAACGATATCCGAGTTTCATTTACATTTCTAATTTTTATTTTTACCTCGTCTCTACCGCCTAATGTGCAAGTAAGAAGAGAATTGCGTCTAGCTCAGCTCAACCTAAACCTTACTAGACTATCACAGATTTCTCGATCGGAGGGCCGCTACTATATGACCATACCGACCAATGTTGCATCATGTAGCCATTCAACGATATCCGAGTTTATTTACATTTCTTTTTTTTTTATTTTTATCTCGTCTCTACCGCCTAATGTGCAAGTAAGAAGAGAATTGCGTCTAGCTCAGCTCAACCTAAACCTTACCAGACTATCACAGATTTCTCGATCGGAGGACTGCTACTATATGACCATACCGACCAATGTTGCATCACGTAGCCATTCAACGATATCCGAGTTTCATTTACATTTCTAATTTTTATTTTTACCTCGTCTCTACCGCCTAATGTGCAAGTAAGAAGAGAATTGCGTCTAGCTCAGCTCAACCTTAACCTTACTAGACTATCACAAATTTCTCGATCGGAGGACCGCTACTATATGACCATACCGACCAATGTTGCATCACGTAGCCATTCAACGATATCCGAGTTTCATTTACATTTCTAATTTTTATTTTTACCTCGTCTCTACCGCCTAAAGTGCAAGTAAGAAGAGAATTGCGTCTAGCTCAGCTCAACCTAAACCTTACTAGACTATCACAGATTTCTCGATCGGAGGGCCGCTACTATATGACCATACCGACCAATGTTGCATCAAGTAGCCATTCAACGATATCCGAGTTTCATTTACATTTCTAATTTTTATTTTTACCTCGTCTCTACCGCCTAAAGTGCAAGTAAGAAGAGAATTGCGTCTAGCTCAGCTCAACCTTAACCTTACTAGACTATCACAAATTTCTCGATCGGAGGACCGAGAAGTCTATTGTACTGTACACTGTAAGCTACAGTACTTTGGGTCGCGTAAGGCACTGTACTATACTGTACTGTAAGAGTAACAGTACCAGACTGCACAGTACAAGAAGTCCAAGGTACTGTAGACCTACTGGAGTGTGGACCAGAACGTCAACTGCCGTGACAAATTCAAAATCAAGACGTTTCTCTTTTTCTGCAGTTTTTGCGCGGCCAGCAACAACATCAAGGTAGGCAAAATTAAGAGTTAGCATTCTATCTTAGTAGAGTACTGATGATGTCGATCATGATGAGTCCAATCGGATGATAACGATGATCATCATGGCGATGATGCTGTTATCGCTTATGGAAGAGATCAAAACAAAGGATTGCTACTGCTGGAAACAGAATGTGTAAACTACCATCGTCCACTTTCGTTATTGTTAATGGTGTTAACCGCTTAGTTGCTAGTCAATAGTAGAGAAATCCCAGTAAATAGATCATGCTAATGATCGATTCATAACATTATCAATGAGTAAGCTGAAAATGAGCACAGATATTGCAACTTATGCTAGAATAAAACTTGAACTATCGGTATGAAATCAATTTATCCCTTTATGGCATACCTTGATAGCCCAGGTTGAAGCTGTACAGAAATACTGGCGTAACGATCCTCGTCTTCGTCTAAACAATAATGCAGTATTCATTTTATGCCATCTAGGTTAAGGACAACCATGTCTGCTGAAGAAATTATCAATCAACTGCAAAATTTGGTAAGGAATAAAAATCAATCAGGCTAGAATGCAATGCCAATGGATTGTTAATGCAAAGTTAACCTGAATAAGAGTATTGGAGACAAAATAATTGAGCTATAGCGCAAATAAAAGAATGCATCATCAATTGATACTGTACGTCAATGCATGTAGACGAGTAGATATTAAGGAAGAAAAAGGATTAACTTCAACAGTTGTAGTCTGCATCCAAAGGACAACGTCATAATCCTATGGTGTAGGCAGGACCTATAATGAAATAGAGTTGCTATTTTGATAATCTTTTACTTTCAGTAAGGGTAACGTAGAAATACCTTCTCTTTTCTACTAGTCCTAACTTGATTGTTGCCATGCCTCAAGTTGATCAAAGCTCCATGAGCAATGGTGTAAAACTACAATTTTTTATTTTCTTATTAGACTGTAGAAGATAGCAAATTCGACCTTGCAGATGGCCACGGATTTAGGTACAATAAATAGGAGCAAGCTTGAATGATTTGGTTACGCATAGTTAGCGTAGTTCTTTACCTTCTAACAAATAAAGTCATCATTTCCTAGTTTGAAATAAAAAATTAGATCATTATGAGTGTAAAATGCGACTATTTTTTCCTGGCTTGATGTGAAAGCAGATAGATTTAAGGTAATAAGCTAGATCTTACTTAGGGAAGTACATTTCTATTTAAACCAACAGTACGTGTTATGTCTACGATAAAGATATGAAGAAACATCAAAATCTTTATGATAGGTAAGTTGATAAGGATGTCTAAAGAAAGGGCTTAACCAACAAAATTTTGATATTGTAGCTTGCAAAATGTAGTTTGTAGACCAGTCAGCATATTGATATCATGATGAAGTGTGACTGATGTTCATGGCATACAAAAACAGATAACACAATTCGACTTGCTGCAATGAAGATCTTTGTTTAGCATACAAATCAATCGAAAATTTGAAAGTGAGTGACTTCTTTATACTGTATATTGTATTGTAGAAGCCATCCAGAAGTGCCAGATAGAATATCTCGTATTTACGATAAATGTCAAGAATATGAATTATTAAAAAAGTGTAAACGATTACCGGTAAGTTGTTTTGTAAACGAACGACAATACTTCCTTCCTAACCTAAAGTAACCTAGCTAAAATTAGAGCATATCTTCCTAAAATGGATATGTACCGTAACATGCACCTTATAATAAATCATTATAGTATGATAATCATATCCACTTATATTAATTTAGTCTAGGGTAGCGACTGATGAGGAACTCTTAATAATGCATAGGTAAGATTGCGTATTTCGTACATTTAACTAAAAGATTCTTCGGTATGCACAATTTATTACTAAGGCTTTGTCATTTATTTTGTCATTGTAGTCAAAATCTAATTGATACATTAAGAGCCACTCAGACTATGAAAAGTAGAGATCTTTCCAAATACGCCGATTCTTTAGATTCTATATACTTACATCCGGTATAAAATAATAAATGCTCATAACTGTACCAGAAAAATGATTATCATAAATGTATCATTTCCGTTGCTATTAGTTAGATTTATGTTCTATTTTACATTGTTTCAGAGCTCTTTTGAATGCGCTAAATTGGCTGCAGGATGTACGTTAGCAGTCATAGAGGAAGTAGCTAGTGGAAAAGTGAGTCGAAACTGATCTTTGCTTTTATTGACGTACTAATCGATGCAATTGATTATAAAATAATTTAAAATTTCTTCCTTAACCTTAAACCAGTCATTGAATGGAATAGGAATTGTGCGGTAACTTTTAAGATAATAAATATTAATTTACGATCTATTTCTCTTGCAAAATCCTATTTAATATATATAAGGATTGAGTTAAAATGAATATCTGAGTGAATTTTACTTTATCAACTAGGCCTCCAGGGCACCACGGATTTCATGATATTTGCTCTGGTTTCTGTCTCTTTAACAATGTAGCAATTGCTGCTAAAAAAGTTCAATCTTATCCAAATATTGATAGGTCAGTAAACTACTCATTATCTTTCGCGTGATTACGAAAAGAAAGATTTTAGCATCTACGTTGTATTTGTATAGCTTAGCTCAGATAGAAACTACATGTTGTAGTGAACCCCTTGTTATGGTTATTGCAATTAATAATTTACTTTGCACTGGTGAATACATAGAATTCTAATTGTTGATTGGGATGTACATCACGGAAATGGCACACAATCATTATTTTATAAAGATCCTAGGTATGCAATTTGCTACTTTATTTGTAAGTGTATTATGCCAATTATAAGGGACCTCATTTTAATTAAAACAGCGTCCTTTACTATTCCATTCATCGCTACGATCACGCTGAATTTTATCCTTTCATGGAAGATGCAAATTATGATAGAGCTGGGGAGGAGGCAGGCGAAGGATTTAATATTAATGTTGCATGGAATAAGGTATCTAATACTAGATATTTGTTCGTGTTAGTGTCTTTTTGACGTCCCAGTTTATAAAAGCTTAGCATGTAACTTGTACCTTCATATTATCTATAGCCGAAAATGGGTGATGGCGACTATTTAGCTGCATTTCATCATATCCTGTTACCCGTGGCATATGAAGTAGGATACGAGCATTCGTTCTCGATTAGCTTTAACATGAATGCGATTAACGTAATATTGACTAAGATTTTTTCTCCCTAATTTTATTACAGTTCAATCCAGATCTAGTTATTGTATCGGCTGGATTTGATTCGGCACGAGGAGATCCCAAGGTAACCTTAACAATGATGGAAAAGGAGTTTAAGATGTTATGCTTTAAAAGATCGCTTATTGTTTGATGATGCTTACCGTGAGAAAATGATTAGAGATCTTGAAAATTCACCTTTATTTAGGGCCTATGTAATGTCACTCCGGAAGGGTTCGCACATTTAACGAAACTATTGATGAATCTTGCCAATGGTCGCTTGGCATTAATACTAGAGGTTATCTCAAAATTGTCATCATAATACAGCTCGATCCCAATTGCTGGTTTAGCCATTTTACGAGTGTATATGTTATATATACATATTCATCATTCTAAGAATTGACGGTTTTGCAATTCTGCAGGGTGGATACAATCTCACTTCTAATGCAGAATCAATGGCTGCGTGTTTACGAGTACTACTTGGAGAGTCATGCCCGCCGTTAGAAGAGGCTGCTATTCCATGCCAAAGGTGCAGTACAGTACTGAATTGCTTAGTAGATTATGGGTACCTTCATACTATACTGTACATATTCATGAATAATCCCCAACGATAACCGCTAGTTTTAGTCAATAATAGATAATGTATCTCGTTACTTGTAGTGCCCTCGAATCGATCAGTAATACGCTAAAGACTCACTCCAAATACTGGAAGTCACTGAGATTACCAGGTAATAAATTATAGTACGGTGATATACTGCACGTAATACTGGCATCTCTCTCATACTAATCTTGAGCGTATCTCTTTCATGAAAGCTTTCACGACTGACGATACTCAAAAACGAGAAAGCGAGACTGAAAAAATGAAACCAGCAGAAAAAAGACCAACGACTAGTTCAGACACTCAAAAACGAGAAAGCGAGACTGAAAAAATGAAACCAGTAGAAAAAAGACCAACGACTAGTTCAAAAAAAAAGAACAAAGCTCGTGTGCAACACAAGGAAGCGACTGATGAACCAACGTAAGCAATGTTGCATCGCACTCACTGAAATGATGTCATCATATCATCCTACTGCATTAGCACTGGTAGAGGTTTACTAACAAGAAGAGTTTGTTAAAATGACCAGGATATACAGTACTATTACCTGTAATTGATGATGATTTACACTATATGTATTGATATAATTACACTAAATATGATTTCAAATTGCAATATATTTTGTACATTTTAAGGCTATTGCTATGAATATTCGATTCTTCAATAGATTTACCCTAAAACTTGCCATTTTATTACAAGTATGAAATCATCTGTAATATCAGTTTTCAGATGACAGTTGATGATTATTGTCTAGCTTAAATTACAAACTAGCGGGCAATTTAATGATTTTCTGCCTCATTTTCAATTTCATGCCTTATGTAATAAAGCATACTCTAATTTTTTATTCTAGTAAATACCCGCTATTTTATGTAAGCGGCAACTGTAGTTTATGACAATAGTTAGCACATTGATGGCTGTGTAATATTCGGGCTATTGATCCATTGATGTAATTAAGTTAATCCTAAATATTAATGATTTTGGCGTTGTTTTATCAACAACCCCTATTTCCTGTTGCTGCGTTAATCCTAATTCTAATAAAATATTTTGAAAAAAGTCAACTATGAAGTTGCAAGAAATTCATAATCATCTATTATAATTCCAATACTTTCGTTCGCTTACGTACCCGATAACGTTAAATTTAGGTTCGGCTTTGTCTTTTCCTCAATTGCTGGAATATTCTGAAGTTTAAGTGAATAAGCAGCATAAATCAATGATCAATTATAGTATCTAGTCTACCGAAAGAGTGGATCGTATCATACCGATAAGTAAAGAGTTTTGTTTCGTCCATTGACTACCGCTGTTATCCCAGGCGATTTCATTTGCCTAAACAAATCATGAGACTCATAAGCAAAATGCTTACAAAAGCAATGTTGTAGCATTAATAGCTACAATGATCAATTTCATGCGAACTTACAAATGAGGACTTTCTTTTAAGTAGTTTATTACATCCTTCAGTTTATCATTTTCATGAAAAGATAGTGTCTGAGGTTTCAAGCTACAAGCGACACAATCGTCCTAAAGAATAGTAAAAGTATATATTAAATAAATTTTCAACTGTTCGTTAGTTTGACTTGAAATATAATTATCATCACATAAAACTTGTGGGCATTATTTGATGTATTCAAGTAATAGCGTAGCAACATGTAATATATTGTACGTGAGCACATTCAAGTTACCCGCTTTTCGGCCTCAAAGGTGTAAGTATACATTCCTTCAGTATCATTATATACCATATAATTTGATAGCATTCCTGAACAACTGCATTATATCGGACAAAAATTAATTTACACTTTACATGTCGAAAGAAATAGTCAAGGGATAATTCTAGATGTAATCACATAACTAATTCACTTACCTGGTAGCAAGCTTAAATACTTCATTGGCGCAAGCGGCTAAACGTACGCGTATATTAATGATATTTAAATAGTTAGTCCAGGCCGATTGCATTACATAAAAGAATAAAATCAATATTTCAGTCGTAAGCCTTATCATGTAAACATTGGGTAGATAATACTCACCAGCAATGGTAGCGTTTGTAGATGCAACAGCAGGGATAATTCTCTTTACCACACCTACATTACATTACATGCTATTTAATTCATTAACAGACGGCTAACATCATCTTATGGTACTATGATACTAACCTTGGGTCAATCTATATGTAATTCCTTTAATATTATATTTTTCAGCCCTATCTATAGCCTTATCCATAATCCACTGTATATGACTTGGATCATCTCCATCAACACCAGTATCGTCTTACCGATCAAGAAGATTGAAGATGGAAATCTTAAACCTGAATAATACTGGTTATGCAGTAGCACTATGATTAGAAGTACTTACCACCAAATGGCTTCTCTTGTGGCCACAGTAAGATTCGAACATATTCTATGCAATGTTCTGGTAGCCTAGGTGTATGAGCTATTGTACATAATGGAAAGTTGACCTAAAATAAAGTTTGAACAGCAAGATAGCTTGAAATACCTTTCAATCACTCCATATAATTTACAGCAGATAATGGTGTGAAAACGATAACTCACCGAAAAGAGTAATTTTAATATATTTATTATATTAACATACCTGAGGAGGAAATAGGTCTACTGTACATTCTAGACATGCTGTAATTCCTGGTAATATCACGCGAGCGTTGCCTTTAAATCCTATAGAAGGTGAATTTTAAAACATATAAGATATGTACTATTGAACGTAGCGATTAGCAATAAAAAGCGTAACCTTCAGTTCCACCGTCAACAAAAGGAACAACAGATGTTGGAATTACAGCACCAGATTCGTCGTATTCAAGTAAACTAAGCTATACAGTGATTGTATTCATAAATTAGTGAAAGTAGCATCTTCCTTAGAAAAGATCAACTATGTAATAATTGCTTTAAAAAATTACGATAAAAATTATAGAAAGTATTATATCCTTTCACTAACAAGCATGCCATTAATCCATCGTCTAGCAATAACAGAGTCCAAGCCACTGACAACGATACTATATTCTACATTGATAATAATACGTATTTGATTAACAAAATTCAGTAGTGTCAATTTGATATCATTTACAGGTTCGAATCGATTTTCTATCATATCTTTAAGTTATGCAGACACACTTTTATAGAATGATTCGTCATAGTCCTCAATTCTAGCATAATATCTAAATATAAGATGTTTTTGTTAAGGACAGAATTCATTTTTATAATTTCGTTAAAAATATCGGGACAAAGCTGCTCTTCATCATAGAAGAAGTTATTCTCTAATCAATAATCTTGGATTGCTATAGGATACGGCTGCACTTTACAAGCATGGATACGACGATTTACAAATTCTGCAGCTACTTCAGCTTTTGGTCTGCCAACGTCTTTAGGCCTATTTAAAGGACATATTTTAATTTCCATGTTTGATAATGTCTTCTATTAATAATCTATACACTTGTATATGCCATATCAGTAATAAAATGTAGCTAAAGAATCATTTTTGATATTAGTGTTATGGATTAAATTCATAGCTTGGGCTAAGACATGCATGCATGCGATAACAGGATACGTAATGAGTCTGCTTTTATAACAGAGAATACAGACCCTAAGACAAGAATTATAAGACTTTCTTACCTATATAAAAATTGTCTATTGAGATTAGAAACATCAATTGTGTCCATATCAATCACGTCGATGTTTCTAAAGCCGGTTAATGCCTAGAAGATATCAAATGGTGAATATAAAGGAGAAATAACATGGTAAGGTGGACGTAGTATTGCAATAATAGACGATTTAAACTGTCCATTGTTCTATAACATGCAATGAACTATTCTATATCAAACGATCCATTAATATCGATTCTTAGGAAGTATTACTATCCCATTATTGGTAGTAATCAATGTTATATCATATAAGATAGAGCGAGAGCAAATGAAAAGTCCTCGGCTAAACCACATCGACTAACTACAGTACGTATAAAATCCTAAAGATATTTAAACAGTATTGTGTAACGTACCAAATCCTTCAACAATTCGCATCCTAGTCCACCAGCACCAATAACGAGAATTTTACAATTATCGAGTATAAAAGGCAAAATCTTGCCAATTAAAAACGAATACAATCAAAGATTTCTTAAGATACATGGAATCAAAATATTGCAAATTACGTCAATATCCACATCGCTTTTGGAAGGATAGTCTACACGTATCAGTGCATGATAGAATAGAATATTTACATCTAAAGTATAAATCTCTAACTTCTGAATATTTTAGATGATTAGGATAGATAGTCCTTATACGCCGTGATTAATATGATTAAAATAAAGAGAATTAAAGCTATTGCAAGATATACGAATGCAATCTGAATATCGCAAAGAATAATCAACCTCTCTCGAAGGACTAATCTGTACCCTATCAGTCTATGCTACAGTACAGTATAACATCAACATCAACAGTATAAATCTCTATTTTCTGAATAGCACTGATGGTTACAATCAAATGATTGTAAAGTGTAGGTTATTTCTATCCTTCATTCACTCCATATAGTATAAACACAGGAAAATAGTCGATGATAAAACTGTAAGATACCTCCGGATTGGGTACAAAATCGGGTCTTGCGAATGGCCCACCTCTAGTAATCAATTTCAAGATATGATTCCATCGACCAGGCCAATCCGCTGAATCATCGATCATAGAGTTGGACATGTTGTGATGAAGAAGAAGGAAATGGATGCAATTTGACGATGATTGAAAGCGAATTGATCAAGATTTTCGTCTCTTCACGTCCAGTTAATTAAAGCTTGAGAACGATTCGAGCTTACGTCTTGGTTCAAGACTAGCAACTGTTGCCAAGTGAGCACAAGTGGACAGATCGCGCGATACTATTCGGTACATGGCTACAGGCTAATATAAACAGTATGGAAAAATGGTCGATATAACTATGGAAACGTGTAGTCATGTCAATGGTTCTTTATCCCTTAATAAAGCTACGCAAACAGTGCTAATCACGCCATACTAAACCGAGTAGCGAGGTGATCTATCGAGCAGCAACTATGGCGAAGCTCCCTAGCATACTGAGTATTATGGAGTTATGGACTTCTAGCGCCAGAAAGTGCTGCAAATGAATGGTAGATCGTAGAATAATTCTCATTTATTCAAGCTCAATGTATTTGACAGCATTTATAAGAAAACTATTAGTAGGATAAGCCTAAACCATGGCTGCTTCTACAGATTACGTAAATAAATGTTGGTTTATCGGCTAGTTTAACATTTATTCCTAACGGTAATACCATAGCAAATTAATTCCTAGAAATTCAAGATACAGCTATATCATCAAATATCCACTGCTATAGGAATGCTTAGGAGTATATCATAACTTACGCATATAGATGTAATACTAATATACACAACACTCTATAGATGTTAACGCAAAATGGCGTTCAGCCATGGACTCCTAAGAAGACTTTCTCTTTGCCGTTTTTACGTGTCTTCTGATGCTGCATATGTACGGTATGCTGATTGAATCTTAAGTGATCTACAGGCTCGTAGAGGCTCCTCACGTTTTCTTGTAATATACACTGCAGTAAGATTGCATGCTCTTGTACAGCATCCCTGCATAATTTTTGTGCAATAAGCAACAATCTATAGCACGCTCTTGAGCAGCACCTCTACATAATTTCATTGCGATCAAGATTTAATATATTTGCATTTCTATTAGTTAGTAGGATCACTTTGCTAACGACCAAGGTATAATTTTATTATTGTGTTAGTCTATCTACTCTGTGAGTATGCCTGACAGAAGCATCATCGAGCTTTCAAATGTATCGATTATTTTATCCCACTTTACAGGTTATCTGTATATTCTCTAAAATTCTTATAACATTACTTTAGATTAGGCATAGACTACTAGTCCATGGATTAGAAAGTTATGCTAGAACACCTGGATATAAATACAAAATAATCCAATATTACACAATTACCATCGTGGCAGGATAGATCAATTCTCGTATATAACGAAATCTAATTATGGTGACTCAAACTTATGATGGAATAGTTGCATTTTATTTCAATCGCTTCAATGTAATTCTACGTTATGAACATGAGAGCCAAGAAAGAGATAAAATGAAAATAAACAGCACAACTGTTGTCATGTATTGAATAGTTATATAATTTTAAGTTGTTTTATACTTTGTTGCTTTTAGTCTTCTTTAACTCTTTTGTGGTCAGTTTATCGGTAGGCACAGGTTTCGTAAACTCAATGAAAGCGCAGTCGGGTGGCAAATATTGATGCAAGACTTCAGGAACAGCGATACCAGTTTCAGTTTGGAATGTCTCCAAAATGGCACAAATGGCGCGAGTAGTAGCACACATAGTCGAATTTAGCATATGAACATATTCCGCCTTGATATGAAATGAAAGATGGGGATACAAATTTTTTATGCAGTTTCAATATCAATGCAATAGTTGCTTTAATATCTTATTATAAATAGCTATAACAATTTTTATTGCCTTCAAAATACATCTTATACTGATTGTGCATACCTGGGCATTCATTTTTTTTGTTTGGCCAAATCGAATCTGTAACCTTCTTGACTGATAATCCGTACAATTGGAGCAAGATACAAGCTCTCGAAAAGCGCCCGATCCAGGAAACCAAGCCTCCAAGTCTAACTTTTTCGAAGCAGCATTGTTAAGAGCTCCTGAAACGATGTTGACAATTCGATAGCTAATACCAAGGGATTGATAGTAATCACTTGCATTTTCAATCATTTCTTCCATCAATTTCCATGATTCGTTATCATTCGGTGAACATAGAACAAACTGCTCAATCTTGCAAAATTGAATGGAGAGATTAATACTTATAAGGCGATAGGTAGTCATTTAACTAACAAAGTAAACTCGTAACAAAAGAGTGTCATCTTTTTCTACTAGTTTTACCTTTTCAAACTGGTGAACACGGAAGATACCACGCGTATCACGGCCGTGAGAACCAACTTCTTGTCTAAAACAAGTGGAAACACCGGCATACTTCTTAGGTAGCTCGGAAGGATTAATCCATTCGGCACGATGATAGGCCGCAATTGGTTGTTCACTAGTAGCAATTAGGTATTTTTCATCAATGGAAGAATCGTCAACATTTTCACTACCTTTACCAATCACCTATCCCAAAATTTGAAAGATTAATATTGGGTGTACATACACTTGACGTAAGTTGTATTTTTGTGAAAGTAAGTTGAACAAACCTTGTATAACTCTTCATCGAATTGGCTCAACTGTGCTACTTCTGTCATAACTTCTTTTCGCATTAGAAAAGGCGTGTACAGTGGAACATATCCCTTTTTAGCTAAAATCCTTAGAGCATGTTGTATGAGAGCAAATTCCAGAAACACCAGTTTCCCCTACCGAGAATATTTTTGTCTAATTTAGCCTTGAGGAGTAGGATGTGCGCTAGTCTAGCAGTTTAGTATTGGTACTGGTCTTACCTTTAAGTAATAGCCTCGACCGCCTGCGGTAACAGTACCTCGATTAGTATCTACACCATCTACCATATAGGCCAAATCAATATGAGAATAGCGTTTCTTTACTTCACAGTCGCCATGCGTAGCAACGACGGCATTATTATCCTAGGCAATGCAGAAATGAAAACTTGTGAGACTAGATTGTTATTGACTGAATAATAGTGGATCCATTTTCTAAATTTTGACGTGTATTATAATAATTCGATGTAACTAACCTCATCATTGCTGATAGGCACCGATTCATGCAAGAGATTACCAATTGCTCTTAATTTTTCACTACGTCGTTCTTCTACCTTGATAACTTCTGCATTACATGCAGCAATGCGGTCATCAATTAGGCTTCTAATTTTTTTGACTCTAACTGGGGTTAAGGTCTGCATTTGAGAGGAAGTGATATGGAATAACATAAATTGGCCAGTTTAATGATGAAAGCATAGGATGTGATACTGATCTTATTCAAGCGTATTTATTACATGTAAATAGTACAGTAGAGTATGTATAAAGTAGGATATACCAGTACGTCGGTAGAGAAAAGTTTACAGTTGACTTCAATCTTTCAAAGTCATTTCTTTATGAACCTACCCTCAAATCATCAATTGTAAGATTTGCAAGCTTTGCAACGACATCACCTTCTAAAGAATCATCAGTACCAGTTTCTTCTTTTTTCTATCAAAAGGAAATGCTTTATTGTAAGAAATATATTATGCGAAGGTCTCTGGATCATTGAGTAATGGATGCAAGATATTTATAACAGCCTACTGCTATATCTTTCCTCTAGCGAATAGATGATTGAAATAACTGTTGGTGTTTTAAGGATCTTGTAGAATTATCCTTGTCCATCACTAATCAAGGAATCCAAAACTCTATCACTCGATAGCTTAAAGTGTGTGACTAAATTATCTTTGTCAGTTATACGTCGTTATTCAAAAGAGCATATTATGTTTGCAATTGGAGTTTTAGGATTATTCAACCTATTGCAAAGTGCAATTGTATGCTTTAATATAAATTGTTCTAAATGATCTTTTCTATTGCCCTTACTGTCGTTCTAAAATAACCTGATATCGATGATTGTACAGTATCATGATTGTAATCCATTGGATAAGAAAGATCGTGTCAAAAGAAGAATGTCGACGATCAGCATCCATAGTAAGTAAGTACTTATTTTTACCTTCATTTTCTCTCCGTAAACTTTGCTACATTGATTCTTTAGTTTATTCCAATTATCCGCAGCAAATCGGACTACAATCAAAGAGAATACATTACAAGGATGTCAATCATGGTAGTGTATTCATTCAACACAAGGTCGTATTGCAAGAGAGCAATCCACTTTTAATGTTGTTGACTATTTTATAAACGATCGTGTGAAAGTCCATCGGTTATGGTTAACAACTAATTATGTAGTGATCGGTATTAAGCTCATGCATTCATCTATTAGGACTGTCATTTCAGCTCCATACTTATCCATTCGTCCATTATGACTGTAATTTCAGCTTAATACCATCCTCACCGGGAAGTAAATCGACTTTCTTGCTCATCAACACATACCCGGTATCATCAATTGATACAACACCATTTACTTTTGGATCAACTGATCGTCTAGCCAATCAAGGCTAGTACTCTATCCCTCTACTAAAGTAAAGGCACTTTCAAGTACTGTATTTCAACTTGTACTCGGTCACTATTATGTATATATTTTGACAACTAGCGTTCTATTCCAATGCGATGATTTGATTAGACGTAGTTTGATGATGATGATACGAACAATTGATTCTCATAACATTATCCATACATACGTTTTCTCCATTCGCTATCCAATTGGACAACTTGATCGACAAGGGAGACATCCTTAAAGCGTTTTCGCTGGCATTGACGAATGGATTCAGGGTTGCCTCCTTTATCTTCTCGAAATAAGTCAAGATCAAGAACCATTTTGCTTTTCAGCCAAATCGTGGCAGCAGACTGCGCTAGTAGACGATGGAGTGGTCGAACAAGGGGTTTAATATTGATCGTGGGGTGTAGCGTGGCAGGTTCGATCACTGTTTCATACTGGTGTTGGAGTTCTATTCGGCAGTATCAGCTCGAGCGTAAAGATGGCTAGTCTATAGAGACTGGCATACGTATACGACTACTGTAGGTCATGACGTTTTACAGTCATACTCAGGCAAGTAGACAAACTAAAATGATTTCTTGAATAAATGAGTATCAGAGTAAAGCAGAAATAATGTCACCTGTATGTTGGCCACTATCATGGACTACAGTTTTACCAGCAACTACTACTCCAGTAAAAAGTAAGATGGTTACCTTGTAACTCCTTTAAATTTAATCTGGATTACAAGGTTAGAATAGGATTGTTCTAAAGTTGTGCTTCAAAGTAATAGTGTTGCTAGAGTAGTCTCACTGGTTCTACAGTCCTACAGTAAATAATGAACTAGCACCTTCCATTTACTGCAATGTATGTACAACTAGGTAACGAGTCATGACGTTTTAAAGTCATACTCAGGCAAGTAGACAAACTAAAATGATTTCTTAAATAGACCAGTATAATAGCAAAGCAGAAATAGTGTCACCTGTATGTTGGCCACTATCATAGACTACAGTTTTACCAGCAACTACTACTCAAGTAAAAAGTAAGATGGTTACCTTGTAACTCCATTAAATTTAATCTGGATTACAAGGTTAGAATAGGATTGTTCTGAAGTTGTGCTTCAAAGTAATAGAGTTGCTAGAGTAGTCTCACTGGTTCTACAGTCCTACAGTAAATAATGAACTAGCACCTTCCATTTGCATACGCACTTCCACTTACTGCAATGTACAGTATGTACAAGTGAGTACAACTAGGTAACGAGTCATGACGTTTTACAGTCATACTCAGGCAAGTAGACAAACTAAAATGATTTCTTAAATAGACCAGTATAATAGCAAAGCAGAAATAGCGTCACCTCCATGTTGGCCACTATGATGGACTACAGTTTTACCAGCAACTACTGCTCAAGTAAAAAGTAAAATGGTTACCTTGTAACTCCGTTAAACTTAATCTGGATTACAAGGTTAGAATAGGGTTGTTGTAAAGTTGTGTTTCAAAGTAATAGTGTTGCTAGAGTAGTCATTGGTTTTGTACATTGAATATAATGTACAACCAGGTCAGGAGTCAGGACGTTTACAGTCATACTGAGACAAGTAGACAACCTAAAATGATTCCTTGAATAGACCAGTATAATAGTAAAGCAGAAATAATGTCACATTTATGTTAGCTACTATCATCGACTATAGTTTTACCAGCAACTACTACTCCAGTAAAAAGTAAGATGGTTACCTTGTAACTCCTTTAAACTTAATCTGGATTAAAAGGTTAGAATAGGGTTGTTCTAAAGCTGTATTTCAAAGTAATAGTGCTGCTAGAGTAGTCATTGGTTTTGTACATTGAATATACTGTACAACCAGGTCAGGCGTAGGACATTTACGGTCATACTGAGACAAGTAGACAAGCTAAAATGATTCCTTTTATAGTCGAGTATGACAATAAAGCAGAAACAATGTCACCTCTGTTTTGGCCACTTTCATGGACAACAGCTCTACCAAACGACTCACTCATACTAAGGCAAGTCGACAAAGTAAAATGATTTAACTTAACAGGCGAGTATGAGAATAAAGCAGAAATAATGTCACCTCTTTGTTGGCCACTATGATGGGCTACAGCTCTACCAACGACTGCTCAAGTAAAAAGTAAGATGGTTTACTTTGTAACTGCTTTAAACTTAATCTAGATTGCAACATTAGTTTAGGGCTGTTCTAAAGTTGTGTTTGTAGTGTTGCTAGAGTAGTCGCTGGTTCTACTTTCCTTGCAGAACTGTACATAAGGATATCCATATCCACCCCTCCCCCCAAAGAGGACATATTCTTCTTATTAAAAGTCGCTGCGAGTAGATATTCTTGTCGGACGGACAGACTTTTCCAAACTCAATCAGGCCGAAAATATGGAAAAATGATTTACCATTATTTACTTACACTGTAGATCTTCTGTGTCTATTTGTCTGAATCACTTTCACTCATTTAAAATCATTGACGATGTTGTAGAACTACTTTGAAGTGTAACTTGTTAAACAAGACAACGATTTAATAGAATATTATTAAAAGTCGCTGTGACTAGACATTCTTGTTGGACGGACAGACTTTTCCAAACTCAATCAGGCCGAAAATATGGAAAAATGATTTACCATTATTTACTTACACTGTAGATCTTCTGTGTCTATTTGTCTGAATCACTTTCACTCATTTAAAATCATTGACGATGTTGTAAAACTACTTTGAAGTGCAACTCGTTAAACTAGACAGCGATTTAATAGAATATTATTAAAAGTCGCTGTGACTAGACATTCTTGTTGGACGGACAGACTTTTCCAAACTCAATCAGGCCGAAAATATGATTTACGATTATTTAATTACACTGTAGATCTTCTGTGTCTATTTATCTGAATCACTTTCACTCATTTACAATCATTGACGATGTTGTAAAACTACTTTGAAGTGCAACTCGTTAAACTAGACAACGATTTAATAGAATATTATTAAAAGTCGCTGTGACTAGACATTCTTGTTGGACGGACAGACTTTTCCAAACTCAATCAGGCCGAAAATATGGTTTACGATTATTTAATTACACTGTAGATCTTCTGTGTCTATTTATCTGAATCACTTTCACTCATTTAAAATCATTGACGATGTTGTAAAACTACTTTGAAGTGTAACTTGCTAAACTAGACAACGATTTAATAGAATATTACTTCATTTAGAAATAGAAGTCCATGACACAAATCGCCAGCCTACTTAACCCTTTCATCATCACAACTTGTTTCAAGTGTCCCATTGAGTACTATAGTTTCTCTTGAAGAAGTTATCCTTGATTGCAACCATAGGGTAGATCGTTAATCTACGAGTAGACTTGTCACGGTACTGTACTGTACCGGTACCGTAGACGAAGGTGGAAGACAGACTTGCAGTAGTCTGATCGGTGGATCATCACCATAGGAACAGTGTTGTCTTGTCCATGGTTGAAAGGAAGCAATGGCTTACTCTTGGCCAGACATTTCTCATTATGGGTAACCTGTAGCATGGTAAGATATAATTCCATCTCTAGGTAGATGCTTTAGCTGACCAGAGCAAGAAATGACGTCGATGATAGCTAATAGGGCTAACAAACCGACAATAGACAGAGAAACCGAAAATAAATGCAACAAGGTTGACGAAGCTGCAAGCAAACAAGATGAAAAGATAACGTTAGCAAGCCCATCCTGGTTGGAAAAGACTGCTAATAGTTATAGAGCTTCACTACACAACGAACAATTGGGACATAACCCTCGAATAGATAGCATAAAGTTAATGCAAGTTACAAGCGAACAAGATGAAGCGATAGCATTAATAATCCCGTCCATTTTGGAAAGGACTACTAACCATGTCCAAGGTTCGCCATCCAGCAACCTATCAAAAGAGGAACCAGAAATAGATTGGACAAATTTGATGCAAGCTGTAAGCAAACATGATGAAAAGATAACATTAGTAACCCCATCCTGGTTAGAAAGGACGGCTAACAATTCCGTCGATTTGCCACCGAATGAACAATCAGAAGAGAAAGCTGAAATAAATGAGATCGGGTTGATGCAAGATGCTAGGAAAGAAGAAGATAAAATGATAACATTGGGACCTCCATCCTGGTTGAGAATGAAGACTACTAACCATTCCAGAGGTTCACCACAGACCGAACAATCCAAGGAGAAACCTGAAATGAATGCGACAAAGTTTATAAATGCTACAAGCAAGCAAGATACAGTGATAACATCAGAGATAAAAAGGGCCACTAACAATTCTGAAGGTTCGCAACCAACCGAAAAATCAAAAGAGAAACCCTATATAAATGTGGTTAATTTTATACGACCTGCAAGGAAAGAAGATAAAACGATAACATCAGGACCTCCATCCCGGTTGAGAAAGAAGACTGCTAACCATTCCAGAGGTTCACCACAGACCGAACAATCCAAGGAGAAACCTGAAATGAATACGACAAAGTTTATAAATGCTACAAGCAAGCAAGATACAGTGATAACATCAGAGATAAAAAGGGCCGCTAACAATTCTGAAGGTTCGCAACCAACCGAAAAATCAAAAGAGAAACCCTATATAAATGTGGTTAATTTTATACGACCTGCAAGGAAAGAAGATAAAACCATAATAGGACCTCCATCGTGGTTGAGAAAGAAGACTGCTAACCATTCCAGAGGTTCACCACAGACCGAACAATCCAAGGAGAAACCTGAAATGAGTACGACAAAGTTTATAAATGCTACAAGCAAGCAAGATACAGTGATAACATCAGAGATAAAAAGGGCCACTAACAATTCTGAAGGTTCGCAACCAACCGAAAAATCAAAAGAGAAACCCTATATAAATGCGGTTTATTTTACGGGACCTGCAAGGAAAGAAGATAAAACGATAACATCAGGACCTCCATCCTGGTTGAGAAAGAAGACTGCTAGCCATTCCAGAGGTTCACCACAGACCGAACAATCCAAGGAGAAACCTGAAATGAATACGACAAAGTTTATAAATGCTACAAGCAAGCAAGATACAGTGATAACATCAGAGAAAAAAAGGGCCGCTAGCAATTCTGAAGGTTCGCAACCAACCGAAAAATCAAAAGAGAAACCCTATATAAATGCGGTTTATTTTACGGGACCTGCAAGGAAAGAAGATAAAACGATAACATCAGGACCTCCATCCCGATGGAGAAAGAAGACTGCCAACAATTCCAAAGGTTGGTCACGGATCAAACAATCAAAAGAAAAACCTTAACGTACTACGACAAAGTGGATGGATTTTGCAAGCAAGCAAGATCCAAGAGAGAACATTAGAACCTCCATCCTCGTCGAAAAAGAAGACTGCTAACACTTCCGAAGGTTGTTCACGAATCAGACAATCAAAAGAGAAGCCTGAAAATAATGCAACAAGGTTTATGGTTACTGACAGCAAATAAAACCTCCATCCTGGTCGAGAACGAAAACTGCTAACAATTCTAGAGGTTGGTCACGGACCAAATAATCAAATGAAAAGCTTGAAAGTAAGGCGACTGAGTTTACGAAAGCTGTAAGCAAACAAGATAAAAAAATAACCCCTAAAAAAAGACGCACCTCCGTCGTGGTTGAGAAAGACTGATAACAATTCCGAAGTTTCATCACGGACCAAACAATCTAAAGCGAAGGATAAAAGAAATGCAACAATGTCTGTGGAAGCTGCATGCAAGCAACACCAAGAGATATCATTAGGACCTTTATCTTTGTTGAGAAAGACTGCTAATAATTCAGGAGGTTCGCCTTGGACCAAACCATCAAAAGATCTCCATTCCAAAGACTAATGGCTAGGGATCGTCTACTGATATAGTGAAGAATAAGGCAGCGCTATTTCTCGAGACAGAAAAGCGATATTTCTAATGTTCAAAGGAATAAATATAATAGTATCACAAGAAATATAACTGATGATTGTAAAAGGTTTTAGATCAATTTGCTAATAAAAGGGATTTGGTGTAGATTCTTATTCAAGAATTATAGATAAATTATATCTTGTATGGAAGTACGTTAAAGATTGTATGATCTAATATCTAATCAATGTTGTAACATGGCTGTTGTAAATAAATGTTAGCCTTCTTGTATATATTTTGGGCAATCCACAACCGGCTGACTAAAGTCAACATTGGTACTACGCGGATGACCGACATAACTATAGTACTCCAATATCGCTTGCCTTTCGCTGGTACATTACAATTCTTTTGGCCAATTTGGAAATGGAGCTTATGATGAAAGGTGTAGTAGTAGTAACCGGTTTGATATGCTATCACCTAGATTTCATTTTCGATATCAGTTATTCGTTATCAGGATAGCCCAAAGTACGAAAAATATCAATTCTGAGCAGGGCCCGGCCAACAAACATGTGCGTATAGCAGTCTGCCTACTTTGTAATGCTATGAATGAATTAAAAATAAATAGATATCAAAATCCATTCAAATAGCCATTTCAATGGTATCATGTTTTTATGTCACTGCGACACAGTTGACGATATATGTATGATGTAAGAGTTAGCACAATATTAATAATTTATGATCAGTATCGTAGAGTTGATGATAAACAATTCACTCTAAATAGTATTCAGCCCTAGTTGTTTTATGCATAAATCCAAGTTACTATGATATCAACCAGCGAATCTATTATAACATCACATCGATTGCCTCATATAGATGAGCAGATTAAAAATAAATATCAAATCCATTCAAATGGCCGTTCCAATGATATCATGTTTTTATCATCATTGCGGTAAAGTTGATGATATACATACGATATAAGAATCAGTACCATAGAGTTGATTAACGATTTACTCTTGAGAGCACTTAATAGGATTCAGTGCTACTTACTTTATACATAAATCCAATTTACTATCACATAAGCCAGTGAATCTATTATTACATCACATCCATTACTTCATATTGATGAGTAAAACATTAAAAATATGTATCAAATCCATCCAAGTAGTAGTTTCAATGATATCATGTTTTGACTATTATTGCAGTAAAGTTGACCATATACGTACAATATAAGAATCAGCAGGAAATTGATAATTCATGATTAGCATCGTAGAGTTGATAATAAACGATCGACTCTAAATAGGCTTCAGCTCTACTTGTTTATAAATAAATCCAATTTGCTATCATATCAACTAGCGAATCTATAATATTACGTCACGTCCATTGCCTCATTTTAAATTAAAAATAAATATCAAATCCATTCCAATAACATCATATTTTTACCATCATTGCGGTAAAGCTGACGATATACGTACGATATAAGAACAACTACGAAATTAATTCGACGAAAATATCAAATTACTACCTTAAAGCCAATTTCAAACGTACAGACGTATAGTTATAATCTAGAATATTAGACATTGAAAGGTTAAATTGAAATTCTGAATGGATCATACACGATCATCAAATAAGAGCCGATGGAATAGGGCACCAAGAACAATGAAGGATATTGATATTGGCGTAAATTTGATTTGTTGCCAATATCAACTTAAAAATCTAGAGTTACATAATTTCACTAGAAATAGTATTCTTAGGAGAATTTTTCTTTGTTTTATACAGTAGAAAGTAAATAATTAAATTAATTGCTATTTTTTTTATGAACTATAATCTCGAATACACTGCTGCAATAGCAAGACTATTGGCATAAAAGAATCTCCTATATTGTGTAGTGTATTAGCAACCATATTATGATCCTATTACAACATACTAAAACTATCGAGACGAAAGAAGATTTCAAAAATAAAATGACGCGATCATACTTTGTATATTTGACTTATAAAATTTTTTATTTATTGATGTAGTAATACAGTCGTTTACATAACAGTTATTTCATCAATATCTACAGTAACAATAAAAATAATAACGACTGCTGTCAGCAAATTTTGTCAACAGTCTCGAATTGACTATTTACAACTCATCTCTTCATCGCTTGGTAGGCAGTAACCAAGATTAGAATATTGTCAAAATGATAGAAAGTATTTACATTATCCTTATAAATTCAGGAAAAGTAAGTACTGTACTGGCAACGAAGATGATTTCAAAGGTCATGCAATTATTTTTTGTAAGCTAGGAAGTAAGGCTATTACATTGGAAAGAAATTTGGGCATTACATGAACTTGAAGGACACCAAGGAAAACAGTACATGAAAAAAGAGTGTTGATGTAAATTAATTATCTACAATTTAAATTTCTTCATAAAGAATGCAGATACAGGTTTTAATCTGTTAGAATTGTCTGTTCGTGGCATTGGTTCCAAGATATCTATCTAAATATGATAAGTCAGATACAGGATAGAACAATTTTATTATGAAATGATGACCACGTTAACTACCCATCCAAGCTATCGGCGTTGAAGAGATTTTCTTACATACAGAATGGACTAGCAACTGCTAAAAAGTTTATCCTGGATTGGGTAGAAGCCGGTCTTGATTGATGATTGGTTGTAGACGTAATCGTTCAGAAATAAAGCTAAGACACATTATGCTTATCTTGGCACAGCCACCTTATGTTAGATTACGAAACTCATGGTCTTGATTTGAATTATCTACAATTAGGCTAAGATTAATCTTTGTTTCAAGAAGTGGCCCAGAAATAAGCACTGCTGTGCTTATTTAGACCCATAGGTCATATTTAAGATTGTTGTAATCATCTTCTTTCTCTGAATTATCAACAATTGAACTGAAATTAATTTTCGATCCAAGAAGCAATTGCTCGACATAATGATTTAAATACGAGTTATCCTCAATTTCCACACTGTAGATACAAGGCAGTCTTAGCACTCCGTAAGTTTTTGCTCTTTCGGTAATTATACTGAAAAAATAAATGAATAAATAATTATAACCAAAGATTGATTTATTAAATCAGAAAAGAACATGGTATTTTAGTCAATAATTATAATCAAGATAATGGTGAACATACAGTACTAGATTGATGATTTCGAGAGGTAGATTAGCAATATCTATTTTACGAATAATATCCAATGTGGACTCCAATTATTATTGTTGACTTACCATGTCACCGATGCATACAGCATGAGCGACCAAATAACATCAACCAAAACATCCAAGGTATAACCTAGGATTGTTCGTTCATCGTGGCTAATAATGGCCACAGCTCGCTCGCCAGACGAATTAGTCGCTAATCGACGAATTGCCAACTGACTATTTATATCTTTGCCTTTAATAAAAGCTGATGTAGGTAAGGCAATGAAGGACGAAAAAAGGAAACGCATAGCTGATTTTTATGCTTGGATAAAGTAATCTTGATATGTTGTAAAATATTAATACGATGTCTAGAAACAACCGAGATGATTCAAACGTATAGTTTATTTTTAAGAAATAATTTTGAATGTGCATCAAGAAATAGATTCAATATCATGCAATGATTGCATTAGCAATTAAAATTAGTGAAATGTGAAAATATTCAAGTCTTTTATAGAAATTGTTGACTATTGATTTATTTAATTCGATGCTACTTTATCATAATGTTGCCTGGAGTCGTTAATCAATTTGAATACGTTGTTTACTTCTAGATGGATAATTAGAATTAATATTTTAATTATGAATGAAGATCAATAAAGAGGAAGTCTAAAACTTCTAAAAATAAACAATAGTCATCTTGAAAGAGCATTTCATCGATTGAAAGCGATCTTTAGATTATAATATAACACTATTCTAGCATAAAAGAAATGGATAGTTAACGTATGCTGTGAAAGCCAATTTTCATATTTTTCATAGTTCAATAACTATCATTAATGTTTTTTCACATATTAGCACCTTCAAGGTAGTTAACCTCCTTTCATACCGAGAAAAAAAAATATCTCACTAAAGAAATTCTATGCAAGAAAAAAAGGATATAATAACTTTCTTGAAATACCTGAATCTAGAAGTTAACTTAAAGAAATCCAATTTGCTACTCCATGAGCATATCGAAGGCAACTTTAAGTTTACAATACAACTATAAGTTAAAATATTTCAGTTTTTGCTGAGTATTGATTCTTTCTCCCACGCCCTTAAGCTGTATAGAAAATGATTATCGTTTAAAAATAAGCTATTGAAATAAAGTAATGGAGAATTTAATCGACATTGATGAAAAACTAGTGTAATCAATCATGATAATTAATTAATGCTTTATAAAATAATCTACCCTCAATAATAATATCCTAAGATGCAATTCTCAATCCATCTTTGTTGACCTAGCAACATCATGATACAATACTTTATTTCTCACTGGTATCTTTTTAATTTCAAATTAGAAATGCTCTAGATCTTACTGCAATTATAGGCTAGTATTTGGCCTGATATCAAGCATTGAATGTGTTTACCATCATAGAATACTTAGCTATCAAATAAACTAGAATTGATTTCATTTTGTTAATCTATCTATTGAATTTATGAAGTAAAACTTTACACTACACTAAGTCCATTTGATGGCAAATGGGTAATAATGAAGCTGCTTGATCATCTTCAAATAAAACTGATTGAAAATGATTAAATCAAATTAAGATAGACAATATCAATAATATCAGACGGAGATACTATTTTAACCATGGCCGTTTTCTCTCTATGGACAGTTTTAATTAATTTATTTACGTAATTTCAGCTATTGTTGGGAGATTGCATGCCATCATACCGGTGTTGAATTGTCTCTATCTTCAATATTAGTAGGATTTTATAAATGACCAATGAATTTGGCTACGGATGTTTTACAAAACTGGACGATAATTGATATAAAGAAACTAAAAATAATATTAAAAGTGGAAATTTTTAATTATAATAATAGTTATGAATGAAATAATGATCGTCAAGGAATATTTATTTCCGATTTACATCGACTACTCAAATCGTTGGATAATATTTGGACGATGCTAATGTCAAAATCTGTCTCTGTGTTTGCGATTGGTTTCATTTTTAGTACAATCAATAATGATAACTGATTGCTGTTTAATTTTTTGCTATACTAGTCAATATAGCTATCGATGTAAACAATCTTCAACGTGCTACTGCATGAAATAATTAGGGCAGTTTTCATCTTTCATCAAGCTAAGATGAAAAGAAATAACTATAGTCCAATTTGAGCCATTAGATCAATAGCAGACAGCTGGGCAATTATTATATTTAGAAAGACAAAGCTATCAGGCAATGTAAATTAGCGTTCTATGAATGTGATGATTGGTAAGCAAACCTAGACCAATAATAGATATACTCGTTACTATCTTGCCCGGTATTTATTTCCTAGAAAAACAAAAGATGTCAAAATATACATATTAACTATAAGTTCAATGCGAAGAAAATGATTGATTAATTAACTTATTTTAATATTTGCAGTTTCTTCGAAATTATTAACTAGTTTACTCACTGCGGTAACCAAGCATAAATATTATATCTTTAATAATAATATTTTCAGGGAATGTTAAAGTGCCAATGCTAGAAATTCTTTAATGACTTTTACTCGTCACGGTAACCAAATATCATATCCTTAATAATCATATCATAATAGTTACAGTCTCAGGGTATGTTAAAGAGCTAATACTAGAATTGATTTTTTACTCTTCATCATAACTAAATAAAAATATCATATTCTTAATACTTACATTTTCAGGATATTTTAAAGAGCAAATGCTACAATTGATTTTTACTCATCACGGCTACTAAATATAAAATATCTTATCATTAATAGTTAAATTCTCAGGAAATATTAAAGTGCTAATACTTAATCGACTTTCTACTCATTGCAGCAACTTAATATCAACATTATTTTTTTAACAGTTACGTTCTCAGGGTGTGTTAAAGTGCTAAAAGTAGCATATTTTTAACAGTCACAATCTCAGAATATGTTAAAGTCCTAATACTTTAATAGACTTATTTTACTCATTGCGGCAAGTAAGCATAACTATCACATCCTTAATAGTCGCATTTTCATGGTATGTTGAAGTGCTTATACTTTCATTGACTTTTTTAATATTTACTGTTTCTTCAAAATAATTAACAAGTTTATTCATTGCGCTAACTAAACACAAATATTAAAAAATATATCCTTAGGGTATATTGAAGGACTTTTACTTTAATTCCCTTTTATAATGTTTACAGTTAATAATATGTTAACTAGTTTATTCATCGTGCTAACTTAATATAAATATATCGTTAATACCGGTAGTTATAATATTCCCACAGTATATATATAAGTACTAGTATTCACAACACTTTTATTGAAACTGGCGGACACTTCTCACATTCTTTACTGCCTAAAATTAAATATATGTAACAACGTTAACTTTATTTTCCATATGAAAACATGGTTGATTAATTTATTTTAGTAATATTTATAGTTTTCCAAATTGTTGATTATTCCATCCTTTGTGTTAACTAAATATAAATAGGAATAATAATTATATTTTCAGGGTACTTCTAAGTGCTTGTATGTATAACACTTAAATCGATGTAGTCTGGTAGTTCTTGCCGTGCTAACATAAATCATCTTTAATAATTCTCATAAGATTGCTCGACTCCATCATAAGAGTCATTAGGACTATATTCTATAAGAAACCAGTAGCTAAGTGCTACTATAATTGTGGCCACTCGGTTTATTTCCGTCAAAGCAATGGGTAATTATGAGCTACTATCAGCTCTTTGTCTTCTAATTTAGAAGCTTGCAAACATGTTGAGCTGCTAATCTTGGCACGTGAATTTTCATTCCGCACTAAATTCAAAGATTAAATATTATTATTACATGTTTCTACTTGAAATATAAATAGTTGTATTGATTACAGATTGGCTGAAAATAGCATGATAGGATACTGAATTGTTTTGCTAACTAACGATTATACTGTAGTTGCAAAGCCTTAAGCTACGGAAACAGTGAGTGCATTCGCTGCTTGAATTCCGGCACTGGCTGTATTGACGTCATAACAAGTGGAGCTCTACTTGCCTATTAGAGCCACACGTATAATGCTGAAAAGGAAGGGTGCGATTTAGAATCACTTATATTGGTGCTTTAGAATGTTTTTGATACTACAATCATGGCCGGGGGCATCCATTAAATAAAAGAATCGTTAATACATGGCTAAAAATCTTATCGCATTTAGGTAGCAAATTTGACCCTCAGCTAGTGCAAACAGAGCATCAAAAACTAGTCGAAATATTCATTATTAATCAGTTATAATTACGATGTGCAATAAACTCTAGACTAATATTAAATTCATTTGGTAAATATTTTTAATCCATTTTTGTCGCATAGATATGCACTCCTGATCTAACATCAATTTTTTAAATTCAGTAAAATATTTTTTTACCATAAGATGGTTATGTAGTTGATTTATTGTACCACTGATACACTAGCAGAGCAAAAAATGGTGCAGACTACATACAGAATTTAGTGCAATAAGACGTAGGTACCGTTTAATTCAAGTATTTAAAACTACGCAGCGAATCCTAAAGTCGTAATTGAGAATATAGATGAGCATTTCTTGAACGTTTGTAGATCATGTTTGTGTAGTAATTTGGTAGCAAGTTTATGACTTAGGAATAGTGCGACTAATGCAAGTTGATCACCAAATCTAATTTCTCTCTACCACTAAATCATCGAAGAATATTCCTCAAAAAGGTAGATTAAACTGTTTGAGCATAAGCTCTTGATAACAGTAAACAGTAAGCTCAACTGAAGTTTGCAGTTGAGCAACTGGGTACCATCTGACATTGAAAATTCGACTACAGAAGCGTAGAAATAGAGCAAATTTCATGTAATATTTTTAAACGGAAATAAAGTTTTTAAAAGAGGATATCCGCCGTTTCTTGACAAGCGTTTGCAATCAATTTTACCTACAGGGCATAAATCGTCCGTCTTAGGAATCGGAAGTTCAACCCTATTTAATCACCATCACTAAACTATTAATTCTTCAATAAATTACTTAAGTGCTATGCTGATATCCGTTTTAACCGAATTCACATATCTATACTCTAGCGATCTGGTATATAACGATTGCTCACTCATATTTTACTCAAATTCTTCATGTATCCATTTCAATTCTATAAACTCTATTTAACTACGTATGTAAAAATTTCGTCAGTAATCAGAATTTCTCTATGTTTGCATACATGCATAACAGCATAGATATAGATGAACTTCATATTAGTCCAAATTAAACAAAAATAAGTAAGTGTTTGACAAGTTAATGAGATACCAAAATTTCGAAATCATTCCTATCAAAGATCTGCTAAAAGCCGCCTAATGAAC